GGACCATTCACTTTAACATATACTTGAATTATTCAAATTATAATTTATTAAATCTAAGATATATCATAAATTTATATTGGTAAGTAAATAAAATTTTGAATACAACCGTCTAGAGTTGTGATTAACTGTACTCAATCTATATACTCAAACTATTCATCGATTTTACAGACGATAAATACATTTAAAGACATTTTTCAGGTGCGGTTGTTTAATGGCAACTTGCAAGGGAGGAAAATATAAGATCTTAACTCAAATTCATGCCTTATGCGATGGTACAGCAAATGCATTTGGTTTTTTTTCCCTTCTTTTCCAAAACTTCTCTCTATGCTTCGTATATTGCATCAAAATGCTACTCACAAGAGCCTGATATAGCTAGTATGAATTGTGATATAATTGTTGATCGCAAGTAAATGTTATGGTTAACCTATTTGTGGTTTTGATAGAGGGGTGAACGAGATTCTAGGTAAAAGGTCTTATGGAGGCGCTATTCAAGGGTTAGGTGTAATCATGCCGGTTAAACTATATATGAAGTGCATGCCTTATAGGATAGACTTATATAGCCTAGTTAGTTATGTAGCCTTCATGCATGCACCCCACACACAGTAGTTTCAGCATAAGACGAACTATAATTTCTTTCTCCTACTCGTCCATTCAACTGGAAAGTAGTCGAGTATAGAATGAGTAGATACACCAATTTACATGAGAACATGCCAATCATACATACTATTTTGTTTATCTATAAGGTTACCCTCCAATTTTCCTCAGGTTCCAGTGGAAATCACTGTTCAAATCATTCTATGGAGGACTATTGCATGAGTGAGCATACCGATTTCTATACTTTCAGGTGCCAGAACTGTGCTGTAGGGCCATTGCTATCATCTAATAATGTTACTCGTAAGCGAGCATGTAAGATCTTACCTCTGCTGCATGATGAATCGTCAGAAATTGGGTCTTTTTGGAATACTACTGGTTGCTCCAAAACGGCATTATCAGCATATGTTAGACCACTTTGCCCCTTTATGTTTGGTTGTACGTAAATCATGTGAGTGCGTGTGGAAAGTGTGTGTGTACAAGGATCTCCACACTCCTTATCTTCGCAGGCTCGCAGCGGTCAGATTTCAGGAATATCTTTGGGCATGGGTCCTTGCCATTAGGATTCAAGCTTTACTGAATTTTTGCTGGATATAAGATTAAGGAGGCGTAGCTCCAAGTCGTTCTCCAGAGACCATTTGAAGTCGAGGTAAAAGTGCTCAAGTGAGCTGTGCGGACCTATCAGCACTCTGCTTTCTCCACACGAAAATACTTTCTGGTTATGGTCTGTACTCCTACAGGTCGCTTCATTGCTTTAAGTTTGATTATCTACCGTCCAATTACTATCGTAATCTTTGTTATACCACTCATTATCGACGATGGCCGCTAGCCCGAGCCTGTCTCAGCAATTTCTCCATGAATACTCTGGCCACCAGCTGATGGTTGTTGCCATCACCTTCATACCTATCAATATTATCTCCGTATCTCTGCGGTTTTTGGCTCGAAGTTTGAAAAGGACATCTTTAGGCCTCGATGATATCCTCGTTATACCGTCTTTGATACTATGTCTAACGTTGTCCATCCTCGCGATTTGTAAGTCAGCTTACCCGTATCTGTCAGATAATGGTGCCAATCAATGAGCTAACATCACCGCCAATTTCTAGGTATCATAAGGTTCGGAGGAGTGGGGTATCACATTGCAGGTCTTGCAGTTACAAACCCAGGCAAGATCGTGATTTGGAGCAAATTGCTCTTCAGCACACCTTTGGTATATTCCTGGGCGGTTGCGTTTCCTAAACTTGCTATACTTGCAATGTTTCTTCGTATATTCACCAAAGGGTTTTATCGCAACACGGTCATGGTCCTTGCCACCGTTTCCATAGCCCTTGCTTTTGCTGTCTCACTTGTCAGCATTTTCGGGTGTACACCTGTTTCATACTTCTGGGATAAAGCGATACCTAATGGGCACTACAACTTTAATCCGAAAGATTTCTACTTGTGGGCGACTTTACCGAATATCATCACTGATGTCATAATGCTCATCCTTCCCCAACCGATGATTTGGAAATTACACGCAACACGCTCAGTAAAACTCGGATTGAGCTTTACTTTTCTCACAGGTAGCGTGTAAGTAAATAGTATCTTCAAAGCTAAGTACCTGTTAGCTAACATAAAGATCCGATGCAGAGGACTAGTTGCCTCAATATTACGCTTTTCGCAATTCGCTCAGACCGACCCATTTCATGATGGAACCTGGGCTTCGGTGTCCCTCGAGCAATATACGATCATGGAACCTTCTATGTATCTGTTGGCATCTTGTCTACCATCATGTAGACCAATATTCACACACCTGCAATCGTCTCTACCGACAAGAAATTTATCCTTGACCTTTTGGTCACTGGCGAGAAACTGGAAAGGTCGATCAAGCGGCGCGAGAGATTCCCTCCACTCCAATCCTGCCGACAACACTTCCAGGACTGAACTGAGACATCTCAAGTCTTCCACAAAAATCAGCCAGTCTTCTTTCAATAAAGGTGCAAGCCACACCAGGGTATTTTCGATTACGACAGAGAAAAGCCCACAGACCACCCAGGCAAGCATCAAAAATCACAGTATTTCGCCCAATCCTAACCATCATTCTTGCAACTAACCACTTATTTGGCAGTAAATTCAGGCCCGCAGAACAAGATCCAAATCACCAGAGACTTCGAAATATGTTCAGATATTCCGTAGAACAGCGATCGTACTGGTAGTGTTGGTAGCACTACTTCTGAATTGGGACTGCTAGTTTCTATGTGCTATCGGCGGCAATTCACTTAAAACAGGACCTCTATTTCTCTTCATTCATAGATTTGATTTAATGTAGTAAAATTGATTTAGCTGCATTGAAATGTGATACTTTTCGAGTTGCATCAGTATAATTGTGTTACGAGGTTTGCCATCTAGATCATGTGGAAGTGCTCTAGGCTCTCGAGGTGGTTTATAACTAGGCGTCAAGCAGGGACTTAAAGTAATGATAATAATGATATGCAATTCGTAACTAATAGTAGAGTATACTAAATGATTGATCTTGAGCACGAAGCTCTATAATAAAGAAATTCATACTGAATATATAGATCTTCATGCTCCCTTGGATCCTTTTGGATCCTCAAGCTCCAAAAGCTCCAAGTCACGTGTTTTCTGACGGTGCGTGCGTATACGATCCTAAAGTGACCCAGATCACATATTAATTCGATGAAATCTGATCGCTTTTACACAAGGCCTAAGCTCTCCTAATTAATCAGTTGTTACCATCGTAACAAAATATTTATTAAATATCTAGTAATAATCTGTTATACAATCTTTGATTTCTGAAATAGAAAATTTTCGAAAAATATTCAAATAATCATCAAATTCTCAAATATGAGTCTTTTCCGTGGGCGTTTCGTTTCATACCTAGAGAATATTTTTGAGGTTTCTTAATAACCTTACATTGCAATTGCTTAGGTTGAAATCTATTATGCGGGCCACGGGTTGAGACACCCACTGGGCAAATTCGGGTTCATATGGAATAGTTTTTAAAACTTAGGAAACTCGGGCAAATTTGAAGTCGAAATTTACCCGAAAAGTATATCAGTAACACGCTAGCAACATCTTCACATGGTGTTGCATCAACCGTCTGTGCACAGACATCATTCCTTGCTCGTTTCCATGATGTGCTTTTAACGAATCCAAAGGTGCTTCATCTTCATTAATCCTTCAACGCCATCATTCGGAGGCGCTGTTCTTCAGTGGAAAATGGAGAGGGGCTAATGCAGATCAATTTTGAAGAATGCGCGTAATATTGAAAACGACCTTGTCGTTGCGTTAAGGTTACAGCTAATTTAGGGGCCCCACGATCCTACCAGCTTCGATGCTTGTTGTACTCTTGCACACAAATTGGGGACATTGCCGCAAAGTGATTGGAAGGGGAGCGTCTGAAATGGCTGTGGGATGCCATCCCTCCGATTGAAATTCGTAATCAATTTAAACTATTTATAATAACAATTGGACCATGAGGTTATAAGCAACGTTACCGAGTACGATGAGTAGGTGTCACGGTGGCTTATATAAGTAACCTACCCCTCTTTTGAACGACCCCTCTTTTGGACCACCTCACTTTTGGACCACCTCACTTTTGAGCCACCTCTCTTTTAGACTATTTCTCTTTTATATTATTATTATTATTATTATTATTATTATTATTATTATTATTATTATTATTATTATTATTATTATTATTATTATTATTATTATTATTATTATTATTATTATTATTATTATTATTATTATTATTATTATTATTATTATTATTATTATTATTATTATTATTATTATTATTATTAGTAGTATTAGTATTTTAATCTTTTTATAAAAAAAACTTTATATTTAAATATTTAAATTTGAAGATCTTATCATTTTAACAATTCAGAATCTATAAAGTAATATAATATAAGAAATAAAAAAAAGTTTTAAATCCTTAATTTTATATAGGTGAAATATGTGAGTATATCGGGATATCGGGCTTCGTCTGTTTGGGTAAGAGTTTTGGCGTTCTATACCCCTTTCAGAGGTCTCTGTCAGCAAACTGCCAGCAATAGATTACTTCCGCAAGTGCAATCTCTGTTGCGTTGTAATCATCTACCCAATCGCCTCGTTTTGGCCCGTATCGCTGGGGCTAGTATCGAGTTTCATCACTATAGGATCATTGGCGCAGATATTTGAACCTGTGCCTCATAGCTATGCGACGATGACTGCTTTTGGAATTAGCTGGTTCCACCATTAGAAATGCTCAAACGAACGTTGGTGACATTCTTGCACATACCTTATTGTCAATGCACATCTGAGGCGAAGTGCGGCGTGGTGCTGTGAGGATGTTTCCCCACACAACGGTTAGCGATAGCCTTGCTCCGCCGCCCGCGAGTCCCTCTGCCCATCTCCTTTTCCAGCTCCATTCTATATTTAATTTCCTCGAAACCACAATCAGACTTCAGCGTTATTGCAGAAATCTATTCGTACCTTCTCTCTCAATCACCCAACACATTTCATATCTACAGATCTGCCATATAACCAACCACCATGGCAAAGTCGCTCTCTAACTTTACGGGGGCTTCTTCTGCCTTTGGTAAAAAAGAGCTCTTGCCCAATGTTGTAGATGCAATTGCTGCGAAGGAACCAGAAGCTATCTTCGCCGAATATCCTGTCCATCCGACCAGCTACGAGTCTGGTTACCAAAAATTCTCATATGGCACGTTCGCAAATGCCGTCAACGGTATAGCTTGGTGGCTCCAAGAAAAACTGGGCCTTACGAAAGACTTTCCTGCCTTGGCTTATATCGGTCCTAACGATATACTCGTCAACGCTTTCTTGCTGGGAGCTGTCAAGGCTGGGTACAAGGTGTGTAACCTGTTACCCCAGAGTCATATTTCTTATCAAAAACTGACATCTGTTGATATTTTCAAGACACTTCTCATATCACCAAGAAATAGCATTCGTGCACAAGAGAATCTATTTTCCTTTGCTGAATGCAAAACTCTGGTTACAGTAAGCCCGCAACCTGCCCAGCTTCAGCCTATGATAAATGCTCTTTCTTCAATGGGCATTCAAGTTCTGGAGTTACCTAACGTCTTGGAATTGACCGAAAAACATCACCCACATTTCCCGTTTGAAAAGAAGTTTGAAGGCGCCAAAAATGAACCATTCGCTGTCCTACACACTTCTGGAACCACGGAGCTACCAAAGCCTATCGTGTGGAGTCACGATTACATTGCTACGTCTATCCAGCGGCTCGAAGCTCCTGCTGGCTATGTCAATCAAGCGGACCTGTACGCTGGGTATGATTCAATTGCTGATTTTGGTTCACGTTGCTGAGCTAACTTCTGTTCAGTGTTCGCATCTTCAACACATTTCCATATTTTCATGCAAGTCGCCCTAAAATTAGCAGCAGTAGATTTTTACTGACCAGAACAGGCAGCCGGTATTTACTTCGGTTTAGTCAACACTGTTTGCAACCGGAGTGTTGCCATATATCCTATAGCTGGCTTCCCTTCGGCTAGTCTTTTAATCGACGGTCTGAAGCATAACAAGGCCGACATAGCTGTTCTCGTTCCCCCGTACGTTATTGATATTGCCCAGAGTGCAGAAAGTCTCGATTTCATTTCTGCAAACCTGAAACGCATTTTCTACATGGGAGGCGCTATCCCGCCAGCTGCTGGAGACATTATCTCCTCAAAAATTGAGTTCGATGGGCACGTTGGAGCTACCGAAACGGGATTTTACCCTTCCTTGAAGCCAGCTGGAACACGTTCTATCTACTGGGGTCATCATCAATTCGATCCCTCTGCAAATATATCCTTCGAACGCCAAGCCGATGACCTTTATGAAGCAGTCTGGAATAGAAATGCTGATCCAGAAAAAGAACAACCTGTCTTCAAAATCTTTCCAACCCTCCAGAGATGGGGATCAAAGGACCTTTACTCACCCCACCCCACAATCCCAGGTCTTTGGCTCTACCGTGGCCGCGGGGATGACATTATAGTCTTCCTTACTGGCGAAAAGACAAATCCTACTTCCATGGAACATAGTCTCAATCAGCAACCTGAGATCCGCCAAGCAATGGTCATTGGAACATTGAGGTTTCAAGCCGCTCTCTTGATCGAGCTTGCTGATCAAAAGATCATGTCTGCGACAGAAAAAGCAGAAACTATTGAACGTATCTGGCCTGCTATAGAAAAGGCCAATGCGACATGTCCCGCACATGCCCGAGTTGCAAAATCCCATATACTTTTCACAGAGCCAGGACGTCCAATATTGATGTCTGCCAAAGGCACTATTCAGCGTGCCCCAACGTTGAGAGAGTATTCTTCTGAAATAGAAAAATTATATCTGGACGCCGACAGTATGTCAGCGTACACTGTAGGGGATAATGACGAGAATAAAGAACACTTCGACGTGCACAGCACCAACGCAGTTTGTGATCTTTTACGTCAAGCTGTTCTCAAGGTGACAAAATGGGATGATGCAAAGGTGCAAGATGAAGATAATCTGTTTGTTCAAGGAATGGACTCTTTGCAAGCCCTGCAACTCATTCGACATTTGAGGAAGGCTTTAAATAAGCACGATCTCGCAATTACTATTTTGTATACTAATCCTTCCATTGTACAACTTTCTGAGTCCATCGTCGCTATGTCGGAGGAAGACTTGAGTACAAAAACAGAAAATGCATCAAACCGCAGCCATAAGATCCAAGAAATTCTCCAAAAATGCTATGGAGTTATTGACAGCATCTCTACTGAGCATAAGCCTACAGCAGACCCATTACCAGCTACTGAACATGTGGTGGTCTTGACAGGCTCAACTGGTTCTCTTGGTTCCTATATTCTTCAAACGTTGATGCAAAATGCATCTGTGTCACATGTGTACTGCTTAGATCGCATATCAGATTCACATTCTCGCCATCTGAAGAAGAACCAAAACGAAAACAAAGTAACGGACTTGCCAGCTTCTAGAGTTACATTTCTCATGACAGATCTCTCTAAATCCGGCCTGGGCCTGGACGACGAAACATACAAACGCATTCAAGGTTCGGTCACGGATGTCATCCACAGTGCCTGGCCAGTAAATTTTAACCTCTCCCTCGATACATTTAAACCACAACTTGAAGGAATAGTTAATCTTCTGTCATTTGTCTCTGCAGTACCACACCGTATCTCCCTTCTATTCATATCGTCCATCAGTTCGATCTTAGGTCTTGATTCAACTATAGTGCCAGAGAAGATTATTGACGATACATCGGCACCTCTTCCAATGGGCTACGCAGAGAGCAAGTTTATCTCCGAAAATATTCTTGATTATGCTTCCAAAAAGATGTCAAATGTCGATGTCAAAGTTGCTCGTGTAGGTCAGATAGCCGGACCTGCCTATACATCCGGTGTATGGAATAAAGCTGAATGGATGCCCAGTCTGGTAATCACTTCATTCCATGTAGGCTTCATACCAGAAAACCTCGGTAGCGATAAGATGAAGCTAGATTGGGTGCCAGTTGATATCCTTTCCTCTTCATTGATAGATATCTCATTTAACCACGATTCCAAAACCTCAGATTTCGGCGCCAAAGTATTTCATCCATTAAACCAGACCCCGACGACTTGGAATATTTTACTTCCTATCATTCTGAAAACATTGAATGCTTCGAATCCGGATACATATGCCGCTATCTCAGCAATTCCATACGCAGCTTGGCTTCAGAAACTCCGAGATACAGCAAGAGAGTGTGCTCTCTTTAAAAATATGGATCTTGTAGAAATACTCGCAAAATATCCTGCTGTTAAGTTGCTAGAGTTTTTTGAGACTCTGCCGGAGACTAAGTGGTCTGATAAAGAAGTAAGCGAGGCGCTCAAAGCTAGCTCACATTTGGCGAATCTTTCGGGTATTGAATGGGCTTGGATGGAAAAATGGGTCGAAGGATGGATTTAGGGGTTGGAATTGGTCAGAGATGATTCACATTTGGATGGGGAATGTGAAAAGATATCGATGCAGTTTTCGTGTTATGATGAGCTACGAATATATCTATTATACCTTGCAAACTTGTGGGTTTCCCGTTGTTGCAATGATTCAAGACGTGCCGTGCCTTTAAATAACGATTCTTCTTCCACGATTATATCACGTATCAAAAGTCGACGTAATTTGGGTCTTACACATTATATCATTGCCTAGATACGAGATATCATTACTTTAATTTAAAAATAGAACTTCCATTCTCAATCTACCACTTCTACTTGAACAAATTTACCGATTTCCTACTATACCCCACCATAGTTGGAAATGCACTATAATCCGGAGCAAACAAAATCGCATCATTACAATCACTTCCCAAACTCGTATTATTCAACCACGCCGGTTCCCAATAATGAACTCCTCTCCCCAATCCATAAGGTACATCCTTCACCACACTAATGACATTCTTCGTCCACTCCAATTGTCCAGCAACCGTATACGGAATTTCAGGTTCGCTGCTCTCCGGTATGGGATTATACTGTCCGTTGCAAATTGCCGGATAATCCGTCTCGGCAACATGAACGGGTTTTCGATATGTTTCGGCAATATAATTTAATGTTGTGCCTAGGTTGGCTAATGTAGCTGCTGTACCGTAGAAGGGGTAAAACGAGAATCCAAATACGTCCCAGGCGGACAATGGGACACCGTTGGCGGTTAAGGCGGAGAACCAACGTTGTTGCAGTGTTATGTTCCAGCCATCATCGATATGAATCATGACTTGAGGTCTGTGAACCCCGAGAGCAAGTGCATCATCGACACCCGCACGAGCAGATTTCCAAAGCGTGGCTAGCGACGAAAAGTTTTGGTTTAGAGCGCTAGTGGGTTGAATATCAACATCTACATAGCCTACTGGCCATAACATCCCATGACGAATCTCATTACCCAATGCTACGATATCGAGCTTAATTCCAGCTTTTTTGAACGCGACTAATGTATCCTTAACATATCCTCTCAAAGTCCTAGCCAGCGGTTTTAACTCCGTGGGCCAGGCTGCTGGAGGAGGCTGTTTATTTGGATCGACCCATGAATCGCCAAAGTGGAAGTCAAGATAGATTTTATATCCTTGTTTTTGCATTCGTTTTGCAAGTTGGATGTTGTAGGCGAGTCCGTATGTACCGTCGATGGGATTGACCCATTGACGAAGTCGAACGCTGTTCATTCCTCCATCTCCGAGGATTGCCTCCGCGGGTCGCGTGGCGTTGTGTTTGGTGGTGTCTTTGAAAATGGAACCACCTTCCTCGAGCATGAGGAGGGAAGAAAGATCATGGCCTTTGTAGAAATATGAGGAATCTCTGTGGAAAATAAATTGTGAGTAAGGTTATTTCGTTGAAGTAAAGAGCGACTGGTTTTCTTAAACTTACCTTGAATGATTTTCTGGTCTTGCTAATACCAACGGCAAGACCGTGATTAAAAGACCCCAAAACTTCATATTTCCCGTTTATGAATTTTATGTAATCTTATAAACTTAAACTTTCGATCTCAACAGAAAGGAACCTCTGACACAAAAACAAAACTTCGATAACCACCAGCTCACTTTATATAATTTTACAATTCCAAGCCCCTCCACTATCACAGACATCACATCATCACATCATCACCTCACAAATATTATTAAACTCCACGACACGGCAAGGAAAAACCTCTCTTTCCGAGCGAATAAACAACCTCGGTCCAAAAATATCCATATCGAAGCACCACAAATCCACAAACCCACACTAACCCAACATCGCAAATAACAGCACCCCCATTCTCCAGAGTTTTTCTCCAAATCTCTAGATATTGTTGTGGGGTAACATTATCAGGTACCCCTTATTTCTCAACTCCGAACCAATCATATCACGGCGCGAAATTGGTTTCCGGGGAAGCGAGGATGCATGCACGGAGACTAGCTTACGGATTTCGGCCGGTACTAAAAAGTGTGTCACATGGCATTTTGACATTTTATCCGGTATTTTCGGAGATTTGGGGTTTAATGATTGGTGAGCTGAAGGCTGAAGCTTGAATGTACCTGATTTGGGGGAAAGTATCGTGGATATACTCCGTGTGCCATTGTATGGGGATGGAGATGGTATAAAGTCTAGATTTCTCAAAATCAAGAATCACGGTTGGGGTTGCTGTTTTGGAGGGCAGTTGTATGGATTAACCTTACTTGAATAAATAAATTAGAGGGCTTGTTTTACTGAGTTTCTCCCACTTTTGATATTGATATTATTCTTAACTTCTGCATGTTTTCTTTAGCACACGATCGAGCGAACGCTTTTGGTATTGGGTTTCTGAGGTATTGATCTATGAGATTTGGTAATTCTTACTAAGTAGAGATCTCGTGGGCAAATATTCATAAAGGAGGGATATTCCTGTAAATTTTCAAGGTGTTTTTATGACACTTTTATTTCTGCTGCTTTCCATGTATTCATGCCGTTTAAGGTTACAGCTGTGGTCTTGGGCTTGGTATAAGATTTATCCCACTTTTTGTACTGTGTTCATGGAGTACCATGTAAGACTATATCGTCGCTTCGCTTTCATGATTTGTTTCCGGCCTGTCCATGGACTCTCTTTTTATATGTTCATATGTTCATATGTCGATTTTTGTATTTTTCTGCATAATAAGGCTTTTCTTCTAGGATGGATTAATGGTGCAATATGCAGATTTCGAAATATTAGGTCTATTCCTATACATGTAATAGATCTATCACACTACTAGGTTTTTGAAATACGACCCCTAAATTATGTTATTTGTAATGATAGCTACGTTTCAATTTGAGATGATTAATTCTTATAGAAAATGGGGGCGGTTTCTTCCTTCGCTCGGGGTTTTCCCAAGTGGAATGCTTGGATACCTACTTTCTCTATTGTCATGCTATATTGAAGAGTGACATGGCTTATACACCAAAATATTTGTTAAGCTGGAGCTGTTGGAAATTCACCCAGGCCAAAATGAATGTGTAGCTTGAAGTGAGTGTCTACCCGTAGTGCCAATAGCTAGGTTTTTAAGATATAGTGGCTTTATGTATTTTGAATTTAGATATGTCATTTCGCCACTCGAATATTTTAAATGGATAGGTACTTATGGTTCGGGATATCTTGAGGATTTTGGAGCCCTTTGTTGTGTATGCTAAATCAGACTAGAGACATTGCGTGGTTAATATATGACTTCAAAAGCTGGCTTTTAAATCAAACAAAGTCTCACAGATGTACAGAGCCATGATAGATCGTAAGGCTAAAGTGGAAAGTTCGACCTGTGGATAAAACATGCAAAAAAAATCAATGAGGCGGAGTCTCCCGCACCTAAATATTTCAGACAAGCCGAAGTTTGGATAAAATTGTTTGGGAAGATGCAAACAATGCTTTTGCTTTAGCATATCCATCATAGCGAAAAGAGAATCCTCGGGTGTTACTGGTGTTGATGAGGCTTTTTTAAGAAGTCCTGATTTCTAGGATAATTTGGGATGGTATGTAATCATGCGCTTTGCTAATAAACGGAAAAATGAAGTGAAGGGGAAGTGTTGATTTAAAAGCTAAGCTTTAGAAAAATATTAGGTGGAGTTGAACGATCAAGGACTCAGAGATTTCTTTGTGACAGTTCGGCTGACCATCCTGCTTATAACGAAGATTTGATGAGGGAGTGGATGCCAGGAAATATAGATTTCTCCGCTGAGTCTTACTACGTGTGAAGGAAGATGTAAGTTGGATGGGGGAATGAAGGAGATGATCCATTGAAGATGCGCGTGATAATTTCATCGAGCACGAGCATGAACACAACCAAGTCGGCGAGTAATAGGGCACTAACAAACACGTCTACTGACAGACGAGATAATGATGATGATAGAACCACCTCGGTCCACGGAAAACAAGCATCTGAGGAATCATCTGAATCACAGGCATCTGGTACAAAACGCCCCAAGTGTCTAATCCAGGTGATAGACCACAGTAAACCACGCGGCCTTAAATCAGCGTCATTTCTCTAGATCTCGAGAAGCCGAGACATAAAAGACTACAGGATACCGACCAAGCCTGCATCAAAGGCCGACTAGGAAAGCTATAAAGTCAAGAGAGACTGAGTAATAATCTGGAAAATACAATGTCTGCTGAGTCGTCCGGAGAGCAACTGAAATTGAGATATTCAAAAGAAAGTAAAGGAATACATTGCGAGGCAGGAAACCAGATTTTAAACTTCCCGTCACCTTGGCCAAGGTATATTCCTCCCAAAGCTCTACTAAACAATCTCAGCGTAAGAGACCACTCAATTCTTGAATTCTGATGGGCAAATTGAAAAATGGTATGAGCTACTCGAGCATAAGAAATAACTTGACAATGAAATCCCGTTTTGAAAATTGGAAGAGACATGTAGTAACCTAGGTTGATTTTGAAGTTATTAATTTGATATAAGCTTACAATCAGCTCGTATAATCGTGAGCAGATTGAAAGCCATTACATATTTCAAGTTTGCATAGTCTTGATCACATCACAACAACTATTTCCATGATGAATTACTAGATTCTGTTACTACTAAGGGGCTGCCAAAGACAACAACTTTATAACGAAATTACTGCACTCCCCAATTCATTGAGAGCGACTAGTTAATCCATGGGCTCACGGCTCTTTGACTTCATTCTTACTATTGCTCTTGTGTTCATATCATCTAGATTTACTAGATAAATACTTGTGACTATTCCAATTGCAATGAAGAGGTGGCATTATGTGAGACTACCTAATCGAATATACAGAATTCAGAATCGTATTACTGTTGCCTAGATGGTAATTTTTCCTCCTACATCTCTTGATCTTCTACAAGAATGAAATATACTCTACATCATGTGCGCGCAGAAGTTCCAGAGGAAACAAAGTGCTCAGAGAATATTAAACATGTGAGCTCGATCATAATCGCCATACCTTGGGTCCCGCACATAGGTCTGACGCGGATTTGCACAAGAGCTTTATGAAGTATCTGGAGAATTGCAGAGGAGACCTTGGTCCAACTGTTTTCCCGATGATTAGTCTCATTTCCTTGAGAGAAGAGCATAGCGAACTCACGACAGGGAGTATGCAACACATGTTGATTTTCCCAACAGAAGCACAGACTTCGTTGAAAGATGCTACATCGTGGAATGCTTCTGGTGCTATTTTTCATTGTATTAGTTTTGTGCTTCGGCGGGGAAAGGGTGCATTTACGAGCTTCGCAATTCAAATCAGCGACTCCTAAGACATTGATATCGCAGCATTGAGGACTTCCAGTCGTACAGATGAAGTCTGTTCGAGGGGAAAGAGTTGCGGGCATGGAGAGAGTGGGTGTGAGGAGGGTTATAAAGGTGATGATGTTACTGATTCTTGAGAAAATCATTTTGATGGGAGTCTGTTGTGTGATTAATTTATAAATATGGTGATTTTTTTCTTGAAGCTAGTATCAAAAGCAAGGTTGATGAAGAAGTGATCGTAATGATGAAATGGGATTGAGTGATGGTGTAGGAAACTCCCTCATTTTATACCTGTTCCTGGGCCAGCCCTTCATCATTTTTTTACACCACCTTGAGTCAACCATGGCTCATGTAAATTATATGATGTCAGCGGGAGATCCTTTTTTGATAATTAACACCAGAATGATGTTACCTAGCACACTTCAGCTTCTTAATGGAAGACATTTTCATCAAAAAAGTGGTACAAGCCATGTATTCTGGCGATTCATATGGCAATCACAAAGCCCCTTTCTTATGTGAAGAGTGATATAGACTTGGATGAAACTAATAGAGGCCAATTCCCAAGACTGTCTTAAGTTTCATACGATATAATAGGCACTAGCCAAGTTACTGTTTCAGACCAAGCTTTCAAAAGAAGAAAAGGGAAGGCTTAGGAACCAATGATCCGTGACTTGCACAATTTTTTGGATATTCAAGATTACACACTGCCGTTGAAGAAGGTCTTATATAATATATCTGCTAATCCTCAGGGTTTCCTTAGACCCCTAACAATTTAATTGGTATATATCTTGCTCAGACCGAGAATTGGATAAATATTATACATGTACAATGTGCATCCATGAGTCCCAGGTTCTGGACTGCTATCCTCGTGGATGATCGTATTGTGTTCCGGGAAAGCTGGTGCTTTGAGGGCAGCTACACTCCCTTCTTCAGCCTAGAAGAAGACATTAACCAAACTAGCTTTATAGATACAGAGTATCAGACCATAATAGATATGTAGACATTTAGAGAGAATTTCTAAACCAGCGACAACATCCATAACAGCAAAACTTTCTTTGTTGTACAAATTTGTTAATCGAAATATCAAAACTTGAAATCACACCAGTTGCCAAGCAAGAAAAGATCTGAATGTGTCACCTTGCCTATATATAGCAAAGCATAGAATAGCATGTCAATTTATGAAAAGGACATCAATTGCTCAGCAAGTGGCAAAAGTTTCAGTTCTTTGCGGATCTTTACAAAAAGTCGTCGCGCAACCCGACCTGTCAATTAGAGACAAATGACAATTCAAAAAGGTAACTTTGCCCGAATGGCTAGCATTCTCTCTCCCGCTTTCTCAAGAGATTCTTGATACTTTAACTTGATTTGTTGATCTTTAACCGGACCTTTTGTCATCGACATTATGCGTTTGACACAGTGGGAAAGCCATGCTAGCAAGAAGGTTTTTGTTCTTTGCTGACATTGCACTTGTCGGAAATGTATTCCCGCAATGTCTTCCCACAAGAACTGTGTGAACGAAGTGAATGACTTCAATTCAATTACTACTGTAATAAAGAACTAGGCGAACGCGAAAGAGACTAGCTCTTTTAGTAAGTCTATATAAGACTTACTACTTTCAATATGTAGCTAGCTCTTTAGACAGAATACAATTAGACATACAGGACCTACGTAATCCGTGGGTGCTACGTCTTCCGTATCCTTCTCGTACCAACAAGAACTGTTGAGCGGGGAAGCTGGAGATTTCTGTAGCTTATGTAAGATGATAACCTATGCTAGGAAGCACGTGTGCGGGAAAGCTTCTCCCAACGACCTACTTATCTATATCTACACATGATGTATGTGTACGTTATGTTAACCAGATATCAGTAGACTATTTATTTGTTGCTACATCTGGCTTAAATTGCAATAAAAATATACTCGCTCGGCTTGATTCACGACGGATCCATTTTCAACTGTCCCGGCCCCTGTCTTCCTGGATACCATACAGTGTTAACGTTGCCATACTTTCCAGATTTGCAAGCTCTATTGTATGCATCTTCAAATGTCGCAAGAATTTTCGAAGAATGCGTTGAGTAGATCGTCCACAACTTTGTAGTTCGAACTCTATCTCTGACTATTAATAAATTGCTGGAACTAACAAAGACTGTCTTTAAGGAACATACGTCTCTTTAAATTCAATCTTCCCTTGAAGCAGAAGATGAGCATGATGATTTACGAAGAAAATTTTATCTCTCCACCGTTCTCCGCCGTCTCTTCTGCATCTCAGCAACATTACATATTTGAGTTACTGCTTCTTACAATCGTATCTGGATCGTGTTCATACTCTCAAACCACGTCATTTACTTCAGCTACATATTGGATCCCGTTATTACATCTACTGAGTACGGTCCGCACTTGGCCAGTCCTTCTTATGAAGTGAAGGGTACGGGTCCTCCTTCCTGGGTGGAGTCGCAGCGTGTTCTCCGGGCTCTCTGGAATTTTCAAATGGATTCCGAATTACAAGGGGCTATAAACTTGAGTTCTTAGTTGTCAAAAAATGCCAAGAAGCATTCAGTGAAATACCTCAAATTCCGAGAAACAATTCATCGACAGAAAAACGAAATGGAATGTGTGATAGAGTATCTACTTGAAGCCACTAGCATGAAATTCCTACCCATGAATTGTCGTATCTTTAGCAATCCATCGCCACTTTTGAACATGCCGTACCAAGGCTTCATCTGTCCGCCATGGCCTTAATTTGAACCACACAACGATTAAATAGCAAGGTTTTGGTAGCAGGACCCCGAGGCCTTGAGCCAACGATCTCTAGGTTCGCATCTTTATATGATAATGTGTCTTAGGTTAATTCATAGTCCTGTGAATCTACTAGAGGAAAGATCATGGAGGCCTTATCGACGGTTAGGGCACGGGATATGGCACCTTCAAAGAATGTGCAAGCTGCAGTTCTCGACAGTCACTAAAAGCATTGAAACCTCCAAATGGAGGACGACAGCTTGGATCTCAGCACGCAAGCATACTCCCTGCATAACTTGCAGTTTACCTGGATGAGCATTTTTGGAATGTCGCTCATTATTTCCTCGAACTCAGATGGCCCTTAGATTTTGAAGCTCTCATTGTGCTGTAGCATCTTTTGAACCTCAGATTTCTTTGGGCTGAAGTCAATATGGTATATTTTGATTTTGCTGGGCCTTCTGCGACAACTAGAATCAAAATATAAGGTCTTATCACTTTCATGAAAATTGCGATTAGTAGACGCGAAGAAGGTCGAAAACAGATGAATTCAAGCAATGATTGGGTTCGTTTTACCATGCATCTATGGATTTACACTTTCTTCGGTCTATTTAATAAGCCCGCATATATACCATTAAAAAGGAAATTTGAGTTGGCTTTTTGTATTCTTTGACTACCTACATCCAAAGCACATCTACACTATTGGGAAATGTCGTTAAAGAATAGGGGTCATTTCTCCATTAAGAGAATCTAAAGCTGCCTAAAAAGGAAAGTAAATAAACGAAATTCTAGGCGTAAAAGGATTTACATATATTTTGTACCTTCCACCTTGATATCATAAAATAGTACTTATTTCCATACATGATATCACTCATCTACTGTTGTATTGACATTTCAATGGAAAGTAAAATGTACAACGTGGATTCTGCCCAAGGCGGTAAGGAAAAAATATATAAATATAAGATCTTACAACTTCCCCAGCCACTCGATTTATCAAGCTCAAACGCCTCAAAAATCCCCGCATCACCCAATAAATTATCCCCTCCATCTCCACAGTAACCATTGATCCATTGATATTTGAAGACAATTATGACGATGCAACAGCTGGCAATACACTCGGTGAGGGGATCTTCACTCAGCCAAATATTTAACTCTTGAAATTTTAAAAAATATATTCACAACTCTGTTTAACAAATACTTCATTGACTATCAATCTCAATTACTGGCTATCTTAATATCTGTCGCTCAAGATAAGCTCAATTTTTGGGTATATTTTACCGGGAAGTCAATAAATAAAATAGGTGGTTGGGCAGCGAACCTTGGAATAAAACAACGGGTAATTTTTCTCTTCCATTCCTCGGACTTTTTTTACTCTCTTATTTTCACACATTCCTACTACTCGTACTAATCATTGAAGTTAACTTAGGCCTATATTTCCATCTTGAAAACGTCAAAATGCGTTACCAATCTTCATTCCTCGCATTCTCCCTCATCACCACAAACGCAGCTCTTCAAATACCATCGCTGCTCTCACCACCGGAACCCTTCTACGCACCACTTTCCCTCAACCTCGATATCTCTTCAGAAGCATCTTTAATATCAAATGAAACCATCCTTCCAGATACCTCACCCGCCTCCTCAAAACCTAAACCCGAACTCCTCAAACGCAATGGAAATTGTCCTTCAAACTATAATTCGTGCTCTACTTTGAATGCCGCAGATGGGGGTGCATGTTGTCCGGCTTCAGCAACTTGTTCAACAGATGCTTCTCATAATATAGCTTGTTGTGCAATCGGCGCATCATGTACTGGCACCGTCACAACTCCTGGTGCGACTCCAGCATCGGTTTCTGCGACGGTGACGGGAACATTCGTGCCGAATGCTTATTTCCCATTTCCAATTCTACCTACGAATTATGTCAATTCGGCAGCATGTAGTAGCGCGACGGATGCTTGTGCTAAGAATTATGCGATTTGTACTGTTGATCTTCAAGGGGGAATGGGCGGTGCAATTACGATATCGGCTCCAAATGGAGGGGTAACTGTAGCAGCTAGTGTTCCCACCGGAGGATACTTAGGAGAAGCTAGTGCGGCGAGTGTTTGTCAGAGTTTGAGTAGTGTTGCTTGTGCGGCTGTGGAGAGTGGAGGATGTGCGAGATATGGAACAGGAACCGCGACAACAACTGCTGGTTTTGTTATTGGGACGAACGGTGTTGGTGCTATGATTCCGAGACCAACTATGATGAATTGTTTGCCATATGCGGCTGCTGCGGCTGGAGTTATGGGGCTGGTGATTTGAGGGAAGTGTAAAGATTGGATATTTTATGGATTGTCATTGTAAGGATACGATGTGATATGATTTACTTACGGTATAAGAGGAGGGGTATGGAAACAGTATTGTTTCAGGGTAAAGATATGCGACAATGTTACGATGTACGACAGACGGAATGACTTAAGATGAGATGAAAGGGTTAGCGAGTGAAAGAGCGCTTGTAAAAAAGCTTGATGAGGAAATATTTATGCTGAGCGATAGAGCATGGCTTTGGAGTTTGATGATTAATGAATTTGGATGAGGTTTTTGATGTGGAATGATATGAGGGAATTTGATGGGAGTTATTTATAAGTATTATACCTAGATAAATATCAATGCGCACAGTTTATGAACTTATAAGGAATTGATTACCTAGTGGTTTTCTTTGATGTCGATTTACAGTTTAGACATGATATCATAAACCGGAGATACATCAAGTCCGAAGGCATCGTAGTAGGAAACTGATCTTGACCACTTGACGGGTAATTCGAATCAATTGTGATATATCTGCATACTAGCTATAGGGAGTTGTTATTAGTTGTCAAATGTTGGTCTTATATATATATATAGATGATTAATCGACCACAGAACCATTTCTCATAGTGTGCCTTTCCATCCCACCCCACTAGAACCCCGCATTTCGTCATAATCTTCAACCTCATATCATCACACTACACAATAAACACAACATTAACGACACTACAGTACTTCCTCTTCATAGAATCTATTCAATTGCTTTACATAAAAACCATAGTTCAAAATACCCTCTATAAACTCCTCCTCTCCTCACCTGATCACATCCCACACTACCATCACCAACCACCCATCATGACCCCAACCACCCCCCCCCTCTTCCCAACCTTCAAAACCCTCTCCATCCCCATCAACTCCACCATCTCAATCCACACCCTTGTGGGACCACATAATGGTCCTCCTCTCCTTCTGATTCATGGCTTTCCGCAATCCCATCATATTTGGCATTTAGTGGCTCCCCGGTTGCTGGGTGAGTTTTCCCTGGTTTTGGTCGATTTGAGGGGGTATGGAGGGAGTGTTACGGAGGGGTTTGATGGAGGTGGTGAGGATGGTGGGGAGGGGGAGCACGGAGGGCTTAGTAAGAGTGTTATGGTAGGTTCTCTGGAGGGGGTTTTATTTATGGGGTGTTGTGTATTTTTTTTTCCTTTGGTGGGTGGTATAGGTGGTAGGTAGATGGAAGGCCTTTCAAGACAGTTAGTTTGCTGTTTTTTCTTCAATGGTGATAATATTCCTTGGAATAAATGGTTGAAAGTAACAACAGCAAGAAACCAGAATCAATTATCTCATCCAGAATTCCCGCTTACTTTACACAATCCAAAAATCCACTAACATCCTCCCCAGGGCTCCGATCTCCTAACCGTCATGACCTCCCTAGGTCACCCACACTTCTCCATCCTAGCCCACGACCGCGGCGCCCGCGTAGCCCACCAACTAGCCATCAACCACCCTGAAGCCATCCAAAAACTCATGTTACTCGATATCCTCCCCACACTAACCATGTACGAACGAGGAAAATACACCTGGTATCAGAAATACTGGCATTGGCCCTTCCTCTCTCAACCCTTTCCCTTTCCCGAAAAAGCTATTCTTTCAAACCCGGCACTTTTTGCTGAGAAATTTTTGGGGAAAGCGGGTATGGGGAAGGGATTCATTTTTAATGAGGAGGTGAGGGCGGTTTATGAGGGAATGTTGAGAGATAAATATTGTGTGCATGCGATGTGTGAGGATTATAGGGCTGGGGCGACGGTGGATCTTGAGGAGCAGAGGAGGGATAGGGAGGCGGGGAGGAAGATTCGTTGTGATGTTTTTGTGGTTTGGGGGGGGAAGGGGGCAATAGAGAGTGAGTTTGGGGATGTGCTGGGGTTGTGGAGGGATGTTTGTGAGGGGAGGGTTGAGGGGTGTGCTGTTGATGGGGGACATTATGTTCCGGAGGAATGTTCGGAGGAGTTGGTGGAGTTGGTGAGGAAGTGGTTTTAGATTGCCTAGAAAGGAGGTGTTTGTTGAGCTGTGAAGGCGATGATGTATTTTTGTGGTGATGATGTAATAGGAGCAGCTTCTTTTTTTTACAGAATCTGAGGAGTGAATATGAAACCAATGGTGAAAGGAGTGGTGTAAAAACACTATTTGGATCCAGAATCTTCCTCCTCCAATAACCACCTCAAACTTCCATCAATGTAACCCAACAAGGAATAATCAAATAATCGAATAAATCCATAATATATACAACCCTCCACATCCACTCAGAAATCATTACGAGTTCTTCACATCAAACTCTCAATCTATCTCCTTATTCATATTTCCATATAATCTTACAAACCGCCAAACTCTGATAAAAGAATTTCACTAGGAGAAATACAGTAGTAATGATATAATCCCGCACACATTGTCTTCAAATAGGCCGCTGTCTAAAGTCTCATGAGATAACATAGCGAGCGGACTTTACACTAAGCTATTATGACTTTGCAAGTCTTTCGAATTCCTGGGTCGCTGTGATGTGTTCTTTCTAATATAGGGGTTTGATTGTAAGGAGAAGATAAATATGTGTGTAATAGTTAAAAAGTAAAATTATTATAAATACAGATGCGGATATTTGACATTGTGATCTGAATAAATAATTTTACAAATACATTTCCAGCTTTGCATAAGTAAATACTGGGATATAAAATATTTTTTTTCTTTCTCTGTGGGATTTTGGTGTCAGAATCGAAGTAAGATCTTAATACATGATGAGGACTTGCTTAAAAGTTGGAAGAAGGGGTAAATAGGAAATGGGATTGGGAAAGAGGGGGGTAGGATTTTAGATTCAATGCATGATTGAAATTGAGGGAGTCTTGGGATAGGAGCTTGAAGGTTTTCTTTTTTGGTTTGGTTTGGTTTGGTTTGATATACTAGGAAGAGAAAAGATTGGAAAAGAAAAGAAAGGAGGAACTTATCTATTATAAAGTCATGATTGATGATGGCCAAAACTAGAAGTGATAGTGGTTAGGTCATTGAGAATCATTTATTAGTAATATCTCGAATATATTAATAAAATTCCGATGGTAAAAACAACCGTACATGCATTTACTCACTCTCAAAGTCCATGGAACTCCTTCCTCCATAGATATTCTTAGTGAATTTATATAAAATCATGTTACGAGGTTTGCCGTCTAGATCACGTGGAAGTGCTCTAGGCTCTCGAGGTGGTTTATAACTAGGCGTCAAGCAGGGACTTAAAGTAATGATAATAATGATATGCAATTCGTAACTAATAGTAGAGTATACTAAATGATTGATCTTGAGCACGAAGCTCTATACAAAGGAAATCCATCTTGATTATATAGTCCTTCATGCTTCTATGATCACCAGTGATCACCTATATCGTGATCCTTAGTGATCCTTAATGATCACTACTGATCATTTGTGATCACGTGCCTTGGTAGTTGTGTAGCCCGTCGTAACACTTTCAGGAAGTATCATTGTACTTCCAGAAAGTACTATTCTATATTTTTGATTAAATTTAACCCCACTTTTCCTTCAATAATGATCAATATTCAAGAAACATATTTCATATACATACCTTTTGCTTTCTTAAGGCTTTTGTGTGGTTGCACATACTGAGAATGGTCGAGTAATATGACGGAGGCAGGATTTGTAATAGGAAGGGCTAAGGCGAAACTTGGGTTTGTTGCTAGGGAAGTTTTAATGAGGATGAAAGGTACATTTGTACTGACTTTTTGAAAGTGAAAAATAAAGTTTTATGAGAGGAAACAGGATCTTTAATGGCAATATTTATGGTAAAAAGTGCTGGGTGTAAAATACTCTCTGAAGTGCAAATGATAATAAAAATGACACACACCGCAGTATTAAACAAAGTTCTTGATAAAGCATGATTAATGGTATGACCATGATTCTTTCTTCTTCACATATAACTATTCATTTTCGAGTAACAATTATACAAAATAGGAGTGAAAGATTGATTGTGGCCATGGATCAGTAAATAGATATATATGCACAACTCTACCGCCCTCAATTTTCAAGTCCCTAACCCCATAGCCTTAGCGCAAACACCAAAGTAAACGAAGCTAAATTATAGGGATGGCATGATTGGCCTCTTTATCCCATATCAGCTAGTCACATCTGCGACTCTAAAACAAAAAAATCTAAGATTACCTAGCATATTATCTCTTAGATCTATAGAATCCCTAGCTCTTTCATGTAATCTTACCACTTAGTTTCCTCCCCAGAAGAGATAATGTACACAGTGTATGTCTGTCCGCACAAATAAATTTTGAATCAGGAGGGGACTGGTTTGCAGATAACCATCAGTAATATGTAATCTTACCAACCCCGGGACGAAATTCGTCGGAAATGTGTTGTTCAAGAAGCAGTGAAAAGTTATTTTTATGATGGGTGCTATTGCTATTATGAAATCTTGTATGGGAGTGGGATACCGTATATGTGCTACATTTATGAAAAGAAATCTTCTATTTTATATTTTCCAAAAGTAGTATAAGAATTTTCCTTGCTGTAGGATTCCACGAGGGTGGATTGAAATTGATATTGGTCAGGCCATAGAATTCCTCCCCTTTCGCGTGAAAATGTAAAGATCTATTGCTTCTGGTGTATAGCAGATTCGGGAGTACGTAGGATATTAAACACAATATTTTATTACTGCTAAATTGCTGCGATTTGATAATGATAAACTGGTGACCTCAGCGTTGGGAGTTAGACGGTTTCAGGACCTCCTAGGTATTGGCAATTCAGGAAAATGATTGAGCAACAGGCTAATGTATGGAATATTCTGGATTTGGATAATCGTGAGTTAGAGCCTTTCGTTTTCGTTAAAGATTTGATTACAATGATACTTGAAGTTGCTAGAACCTCTTGAAGAAAATACTGCGAACATACTCAATATGTCATAAATAGACATTTTAAGTTAAATCCACCTACCACTTTTCTACCTTATCACTAAGAGCGCCTCGAATAATGAGAAGCAAATTTCAACGTGAGCCCAATACTAGTTCCCTTGTCCGACAATTGCCAGAGGCGACAGTATATTTCTCCACGTCCAATCAACATACCTATGATCTTCGGCAGCCATGGTCTTTACAGACCATATTTATGCATCTGGAGCCTACAAGAATGTGTGGGTATATTATTACAGTAGTCTTCTCAGTACTTTCTGCTAATTCCTCTTCAAAGCTCCAGCACTCATCTGTTCACTAGGAAGATTACTATGTAAACGGTGTGAAACGTGGCGAACGGTTTGTCTCGAAGGGATCAAGAGCGATTCTGTGCTCGAATACCATTCAACGACAGCGGATCATTCTCATCACGCCCAGTGTTTGGATTGACAATGAGGGAAGATCTAGAATACATTTCGAACCATTGATGGAACGGTTGCAAAAGTTTAACAGCAACACAAGATGGGCTGACACAGATGACTTACAGAGTTATGCACTACAACCCTCGAACCACTTCTTCTACCAACTATCCACGGGCAGGCGTCGTTGTGTGATCCTCAAGAAAGCCTATATCCCGATCGATAGAAGGTTTAACTACTTTTACCCTTTTCTTCCAGCTCCCAGACAGCATCATTTCTGTTGAACCGTTCCCGATGATCGGTATATTCCTTCACTGCTTTTCTAGTAAACTCACAAACCCCGTCATTCCGTCTCAAGAGAGTCTTCGCCATGGACCATCAGACCCGGAACCCAAAGCGATCTCCAATTTCTTCTATTGGCATCACTGTGGATTACATTGTAAACCGCAATGGATCAAGGCTTCTTTCGACCCAAGCGTACGATGAATGCTGCGAAAACGGACAATCATGCTTCCAGCTCATACGTATACCTGATGAACATTACCATTTGATGGACTGAATCGGCCTGCGAGATTTATGAAGTGCAAAAGAAATAGGGAGGCTATGCTCCCACAATTGGCGACGGTGAGAGCTTTGGTATTCAGGGAGTAAGATAGATGGGGAGGTTTAAAGTAACTATACTTGACGATTCAGCTAGAAAGATGTGGGTACTGAGAACTGTTTTCGCCCTACTCTACCTTCGAAGATGAATAGATATTGATGTCCTCTAAGGTCGGTCCTCGGATAATCCTTTTAGGATGTCATTTTTTGAGCGTATATCGTTTAAGAATCAACTATGGTAATCAGACCTTTGAACCAGTCACGTGAAATTGCATACCCCAAGCGGATAAACAATTCGACTCAATTATGCTTGGCTTCTTATCCGGGTTTTCCGAGATTAGTCGCTGGAAATGCCCAAACTAAGTGCTTGGTATCATTTCATGCTTACATACGGGGTCCTAACTAAGGGAGATCATCGTACCAAGGTATGCGTATGTAGCTACGTGGGGTGGGCTATGTGGCTTTACCAAGGAGTTAATTAAGAACAAAGAAAAAGGAATTGAGAGCATGATCACCAACGACGTGAGTTAAAAAATACACTTACAAAACATCAATATCGTATCTATTTATATTCAAACGAAAAAGGTTCTCGATGGCGGTAAAGCTAACTGAATAATGATCTCCGCGCCCTGGTGGCCCCATGTATCGACCAAAGTAATAGGCCAATAGTTCCATTTTGACGCCGGGACTCGGAAGCAAAGCCCCAAAAGACTACGCTGATTTGAATTTCTCTAAGCTCATTCGGCGTCTCATTACTTATTTATTTATTTTCATCTCAAACGCATAAGCGCCATCATCAATCATCAACTACCACGTACTGTACCGTCTCTCATCTACCATCCCATCTACCATCTACCCCCTACCCTCTATCGTCTACCTACATTTCCACAGCCTTATAAAGGTAACAACTCAGCTGTCAAGAGTAGGTCGTGTGCATAATTTCCTCATCAGCTCCTTCATTTGAGTCTTACATCTGACTTGCTTGGAGAAGGAGACATTCGTCACTATTGGCCCTTGATTGATCCAATCGGTAACGTCAAGGTTGGATTCTTGGGTGTTCTTGAACTTCTTGACCTCCTTGGCAACAACACAGCCTCGAAAATCTTTCATTGCAGTGAATACGTTAATTGTTTCCTGTCTTCATACAAATACTCGAATTCTCCTTTCTCCTTTCTCCTTTACATGGGAATCCATCACGTCCTTCCTTACGACTTGATGTGATTCTTTCACGATGAATTCAATCATCCGATCTCGAAATAGTGGGAAAATGTCAATTGCAGTCATCCTTTCATATGTATTTGATTGGGTTGTCTTGATTATTGCTGCAGTTTTGGGCGCTATCTTTTCCTACCAAACGCCCAACAAACGACCCTTTTCACTTGTCGATCCTAGTATCAGCTTTCCACATCAAAATCACGAGAAAATATCAACGGCTCTGGCCGGAGTATTAGCACTCGGCCTCCCGGCACTCGTCATTCTCATCGTTACCTTTACTCTCGTTCCTGGACCGACTGTACCAAAATCTGTCCCCAAGGCTCTAATATGGAAACGGAAATTATGGGAGCTTCACGCATCTTGGCTCGGACTTGGATTATCTCTCGCCTTGGCATTTGTCATTACTAATGGAATGAAGAATCTTTTTGGTCGACCACGACCAGATTTGATCTCGAGATGTATCCCCGACGTAGCCAATATTGCTAAATATGCTGTCGGAGGTGGTAAGAGACCACAGGGAATTGTTTTAGTGCAAGCAGGGATTTGTCAACAAAAGGATAAGGATATCCTCAATGATGGATTTAGATCTTATCCTTCTGGCCATTCATCATTCTCTTCGGCGGGTCTTGTTTACCTTAGTCTTTTCCTGGCTTCCAAACTGGCCTTGACAGTTCCTTTTCTTGCACCTCGTGCATATACCACCGATACCTCGCCCTATCATTCCGCATTTCCCTCCCGCAACCCTCCACGCCATCAACGTAATGATTCTGAAATTTCCGACAAGAACGCCGAGACAGCAGCTCTCGCGTCGGGCTATAACGATGGATTAATCGCCTCACGTAATCAAGCTGCAGCACCTCCTCTCTATCTCCTCCTCATTGCCGTCATCCCCACCTTCTTAGCCGTCTACATCGCCTCAACGCGGTTTTCCGATTTCCGCCATCATGGCTTTGATATCCTATTTGGTTTCTTCATCGGTACCAGTGCTGCCATCTTCTCCTTCCGCTTCTACCATCTCCCAATTTCCCAAGGTGCAGGTTGGTCTTGGGGACCTCGAAGTCCAGATCGTGCATTTTGGGCGGGCATTGGTGTCGGTAGTTATGTAACCAGTCCCAATAGTCCCGTAGGAGGAATTCATCATCATCATGATCATAACAATAACGATACGGGCTATGAGAGCCAAATGACTCGACCAAGCGATTTAGAAGAGGGACGATTTAATAGCGTCGATGGCCAGAATAGAAATGTGAGCAATCTTGAAGTAGGGAATCGTCCTCATCTAAATCCAAATTCAAATCTGAATCCGAATCCAGCGACGGTTTAATGTTTTTCTTTTTTTTCTCTTTTTTGGGGGCTGGTTATTGGACAAAAGATTCACGTATATACATGGGTATTAACAAATCGCTTTTTGTAGGATGATATCGAACTTTTACCTAGGGCTGCACAGGGAAGAGTGGCGTAATGCGGAATGTTGATTTTTTCGGCGTTTTTATGGGTTGGGGGGTCGCGGGGGCGGGGTCGGGGGGCAGGAAAGATGAGGATGAGGATATGATAGGGAAATATGGTATAATTATGATGATGGTGCATGGTATCTCGAGGGCTGAATGAATACTGGAAAGCAATGTACTTTATTTGAAGAAGGAGCAATGTGCAATGTGCAATGTTAAAAGCGAGGTGTTTGATTTTGTAGAAGAGAAGATTATTCCTTTTTACATTTTTGTGGAATTTTGCTGTGCTTGTGTCTATCGAGGTATCTATGTATTATGCGTTGCTTGAGTGTATAAATATGAATATGGTTAATTATCTACCAACCTAGTATTCGAATCCTCATCGTCTTACTTTAATAACCCAGAGCGGAAAATTCATGGATTTTTTGCATAACGTGGTTTATCATCGAGTGGCCCATATCATCGAGTGGCCCACTTTCACCTCAATTTACACCTGTCTCTTTCAACACGCGTTTTATCAACAACCTATAATGAATTCGAATAATCAAGAAGCTCGTATACTCCTTGCTATCGAAGTTATTCATAAAGATAAAAAATTAAGCATTCGAAAGGCTGCTATGCTCTATAATATTCCTCGTACGACTCTTCGACATAGAATGGAAGGTTTACCTCTTCGTACAGAAACTCGAGCGAATCGTCATAAGATTACAGAATTAGAAGAAGAGGTGATTGTTCAATATATACTCGATATGGATTTAAGAGGATTTCCACCTAAACTAAAGAATGTGGAAGATATGGCGAATGATATTCTCGAATCGAGGGGTGCGAAACGCGTTGGGAAGCTCTGGGCGCATCGATTCGTAAAGCGTCGAATCGAATTAAAGACGCGTTTTAGTCGTGTTTATGACTTTCAAAGAGCTCTCTGTGAGGATCCTAAGCTTCTTGAAGAGTGGTTTCGACTAGTTGCGAATATGCGAGCGAAATACGGCATTTTGGACGGAGATTTCTACAATTTCGACGAAACAGGCTTTATGATGGGGATTATATGTGCAGCAATGGTAGTAACTAGTGCTGAACGAAATGGCAGAAGCAAGACAGTACAGCCAGGCAATCGAGAATGGGCTACAGCAATAATATGCGGAAATGGAGAGGGTGAAACTATTCCCCCATTTCTAGTAGTTCAAGGACAAGTTCATCTCTCCAATTGGTACACCGAAACGAATCTTCCTGCGGAATGGGCTATTAAACCTACATCTAATGGGTGGACGAATAATGAGACGGGTTTAGAATGGTTGAAACACTTCGACAAGCATACTAAGAATCGAAGAAAGGGCAAATATCGAATGTTGGTACTGGATGGGCATGAAAGCCACGAATCAGTAGCTTTTCAAGCATACTGCAAAGAGAACGATATTATATGTTTACGTTTACCACCGCATTCAAGTCATTTAACTCAACCACTTGATGTTGGCTGTTTTAGCAATCTAAAACGTTCATATGGTGGTCAAATTGATGGATTTATCAAGGCACATATCAATCATATTTCGAAGGTTGAATTCTTTATAGCTTTTAAAGCTGCATACGAGGAATCAATCACTTCTCAGAATATGAAATCAGGATTCCGAGGAACAGGTTTAATCCCATTTAATCCTGAAGCTGTACTCTCGAAATTAGATATTCGAATTCGCACACCTACCCCCCCCTCTTTCGACCTAGATCAATGGATCTCTCAAACCCCTCGCAACCCAACTGAAGCTCTTTCTCAATCAACATTAGTTAAATCTCGAATAACTCGTCATCAAGCAAGCTCTCCTACACCTATATTCGAGACTGTACTAGCTCTAGCTAAGGGTACAGAGAGATTAGCTCATGAAAACACACTTTTAAATACAGAGATTCGTACACTTCGGACAGCAAATGAAGCATTAAGCAAGCGTCGACGCGCGAAAAAAACCCAATTACGTCAAGGAGGAGTGCTCACTGGACAAGAGGCTCTTGATATATTATCTCAGCAAGAGGTTGATATTCAGATTCAACGCGATGAGCGTCAAAAAGGGGGGAATTCTAATGGGGAAGCATCTTCTAATCGATGTTGTAGTAAATGCGGAAAGACAGGACATAATGCAAGAACCTGTCAAAATAATGTAATAGATCCTAGATTATTAGATTCTTAATAGTTTCAATCAATTGATTCAATTGTTGTTGAATAATATGGGTTTGAAAGTGTAAATTGAGGTGAAAGTGGGCCACTCGATGATATGGGCCACTCGATGATAAACCACGTTATATATATAACGTGGTTTATCAGCGAGCGGGCCACTTTTACCTCAATTTATCATTTCAAACCCATATTATTTAACAACAATTAAATCAATTGATTGAAACTATCAAGAATCTAATAATCTAGGATCTATTATACTATTCTGACAAGTTCTTGAATTATGACCAGTCTTTCCACACTTACTACAGCATCGACTAGTAGATGATTCCCTATTAGAATTTTCCCCCATTTTGACGCTCGTCACATTGAATCTGATTATCAATCTCTTGTTGTGATAATATATCTTCAGCTTCTTATCTAATAAGTACTCCTCCATTACATAGTTGAATTTTTTTGGCGCGTCGACATTTACTTAATACCTCATTTGCTCTTTGAAGCATACGATTCTCAGCACTCAAAAGTGTAACTTTATATGCTAATCTCTCTGTACCTTTAACTAAAGCTTGTACAGTCTCAAATATAGGTGTAGAAAAGCTTGATTAATGACGAGCCATTCGAGCTTTTACTAAAGTTGATTGTAAGAGAGTCTCAGTTGGATTATGAGGGGTTTAAGAGATCCAGGAGTTGGTAAGTTCCAAAGAGGTAGATGAAGGGATAGAAGTACAAATCCTAATATCTAGTTTTGAGATTATAGATTGAGGATCGAATGGTATTAGATCTGCTCCTCGAAAACTAGCTTTCATATTCTGAATAGTAAATGATTGTAAATATGCAGTTTTGAAGACTATAAAGAATTCAACCTTGGTGATATAATTGATATGAGCTTTGATAAATCCTTCAATTTGATAACCATATGGACGTTTGAGTACGCCAAAACACTCAACATCGAGTGGTTGAATTAAATGACTTAAATGTGGTGTTACGTGACGGTTGTTACCCACTAGTGGCTCACGTGCACTAGCCCTGTATATAAAGACCTTCTTACTTAGAATCTTCTTAGTTCTTTAGTTTTAGATTCTAAGTAATTGAATTGACTCCGTTTACGACTTTTCCGTCACATGTGGTAGTAATTTGAGGCATATAATATCATTTGATTTGCAATATAATTGAAAAGGTATTGATTCATAACTTTCGTATCTATTCAATACTAGCATTCGATATTTGCCCTTCCTTTGACGAATAGTATGTTTATCGAAATGCTTTAACCATTCTAACCCTGTCTCATTATTCGTCCATCCATTGGAAGTAGGTTTAATAGCCCAATCCGCAGGAAAATCGGTTTCGGTATACCAATTGGAAAGATGAACTTGTCCTTGAACTACTGTTGACCTCCTAGGATCTTGGCAGCATATGCATATATATTGCATGATGCATATAAGGAGCAAACAAAACTCAACTTTTAATTCATTCTTTCCTTTTTGGTATACTGTTTGTTTGCTTTCAATATTTTGATTTCAAAGCACTTTAATTCCGAAGGCCGAATACCTAAGCCTATTCCTTCATTTTTTGAATATATACTCGCAGCTTAACTGCTTAGCTAGAGAATCAATCAATTCAATCTGATGCTCTTTCTGGTCTCAATAAACCCAATATCTTTGTATCTCGCGATTCAAGGATATAATTCGCTATATTTTCTATACCATTTAATTTAGATATAAACCTTCTTTTATCTATATCGATTATATATTGAATAAGCATTTCCTCTTCTAATTTGGTCAAATTATAACCATTTGCTGGAAATTCGATACAAAAGGTAGAACTATCTATTTTGTACTGAATCTTTGTATATAGGATATTATATAGTTTAATAGCCTTCCAAATACTTAATTTTTGGTCTTTATTGATAGCTACGATAGCTAAAAGTATTCGACCTTCTTGGTTATTCGATTCAATAATATATTGTTGATAAATCGCGTATTGAAGTTGAAAGATATAAATTGAGGTAAAAGTGGCTCGCTTGGTGATATGGCCCGCTCGCTGATAAACCACGTTATATAAATTTAAAATAAAGACCTTATGTAAGATAATGAGATAATGAGATATCAATAGCTAATACTAATTAATTATTAAGATTAGAATATGTATGAGAATTATATGTTGATATTGGAAGGGTTTGTTGGTGTTGGGCCCCGTGGGGAGGGGGGGGGGGGAGTTGAGATGAAGTGGGAAGGATGAAGGATGAAGGGGGAAAGGGGAAAGGGGAAAGTATGGTTTGTAGATTATTGTTTACTGGTGGGTTTGGATATAGTGTTTGGATGTAGTGTTTAGATAGATTATAGATGGATGTAGGTTTATATTAATATCATTTTCTTTTTAGCGATTCTTTCTTTGAGGGTTGGGATTGATATTTAATGCTGTTAAAATCCACGAAAGCAAATAGCTGTCTCCAAATGAACCAGGAGCCTCGGATACGCTATCTGAGTTTCGAGTTTGATGTGGGCATTGCATTATATGAGAAGTTTGATTAGTTCTTTACAAAGCTCAACGTGGGTTATATGAAAGAAGCACAAGGTTACTTGAAAAGACTTTACTTAATATCTCTTCTACCTATTTCCCGATAATTTTGTTTCAAAGAAGATAAGGGATGTATATAAATGGAGGATTATCCACGAGTTGGAAGGAAGAGGTGGAGATCTTAACCTGGCGGAGGATAGTTATGTATGAGATTAGTATTTGATGCAGAAATTCTAACAGGTATTGAGTCGAATACAGATGCATCTCTGGCATTAATGAATCTTACTCCTCTCCTCTATGACAAAAGATCGCGGGGTATAGTGGAAAACTAGAGACCCTTGAGGAAATATAGAGATATCCTCAAATCGGGAGTATATTTTCCTACTCGGTCAAACGCAAGGTTGTGGGCTAGTCTTTTAATATCTTTACATACGGAACTTTTGTATAATTACCTGCCCCGCCGCTAATTATATCATAAGTCCTTGCGTGAACAGAGCCTGAAATCGCTTTGAGTACACTGGAGTTCAGTGAGGTGTTTGGTTTGAATAGACCACTAGAATATTGGCTGAGGATCCATTAATGAATCAATCACCTAGGAGAGTACTTCCTAGATGTTTCTGATGGATTAGAGCTCCTCCTAACGACTTCAAAAGTCTGAATAAATGGCCTTCCCAAGCCCGTTAGCATCAAGTGGTCTTGAGAGATTGTGTTTGGTTTTATCAATAGAGAAAGCATTCTGTATTTTTGCAGAAAATCAAGAATTTGGTAGAGTTTTCGTAGCTTTCAGGTTCCCTGAAAGATTTAAACGGTACAAACTGGGGTGGATCAATAAGTAGTATCCATAAATTCCACTCACTGTGTTATGGCGGCGATGAAATTGTTACTAGCACGATAAAGGTATGCGCCATCAATACGCCAGCACTACGCATAAAAAACCCGCTGATTACGGATGAAAGGTACGCCGTATATCAAGCGCGGAAAGAACCCAACACTGGCATGCCCAAAAGTTTATGACAGTATCGAGATATGTCAGGGGGTAATGGCTTGGATTGAGACTTAATTTTGCGTGAGTCTTGGACATCGTAGATTTAAGCAAGTCCAGATATTGAACCCCTGGTGAAGCCTAGGAATAGACTTACTTGAGTGGGCTCTGGCTAGCTAAGCTCATCCTTAATTCATGCTGCTGGAGACTTTCGATGTGGTCTGATCATGACGATGGAGAATTCATGTTTCTACAACCTTGTTGTATCATCTTAAAAGTGTCTCTCCTTGTGTATTCCTATATGTAATCTACATCAAACCATTGAGATAGACCAATTGTAAATATGGCTCGGAACCTGTACTCGTTGGTATATAATATACAGTTACAAAAGATGTTCTTAACATGGACATTGAAGACAATACAATGGAGGAAGTCATTGATCATGATGACTGAGAGTTTTACCTCTAATGGTTAATGTTTCGATAGCTCATTAAAACGTAGCATCAAGGACGGAGCTTTCGGATTTCTATTATAAGTTTCTGAGCCACCGAAGAGTTAACACTAGATAAATCTTTGAGTCTAAGAGATGAATAAATCATATGGCTGGTGCTTTTAAAGGCCAGTCTTCCACATTTTATTACTATGTGAATGTTGGATGATGATGTAGGTTCCGAACTTTCGACTTTGGTTAATGGAAATTTGCACAGCGATGGTGATGTGGTTGATATAGATACATCGTGGACATACATGGCTGTATATGGACTGCTAAATCAAGGTGTAACACCCATCTTATTGCGTGTACATGCTCATTCTCGTGCTCAGATTTGAACAATTTGTGTAACAATGTAGCATTGGAAGTGCAGTTCCCATGGACTCAAGAGAGATGAACATCCCCTGAGCTAGCCGAACCCCCATATAAACCCACTGACCCACAACACAACACGATAAGTGGATGGAACATGAAATTCTCTAATTATGATAGGATCAGAAGATTCCTCTGAAAGGCTCCCACATTTCTCGTTCCACAGAGCTGGAAATTTTTCTCGCTTTTTATTCAACTACCCCACCACTGAACTAAAATTTTAACGTTCTACCTTCAGAAGGCGACTCAATCTCACAGCTCAAAACCCACATCGTATAGAAAGACGATTTCCAGATCTTTTGATGCATAAGGGGAACCACTAAAAGCTATTCATTCCAGTTACAAACCCCAAATTCCATTTGCCTCCTGACACCTCCCTACTCTCACAGAAACCTGAAAATATATCCCCACCACGAAAAAGTGCAAAAAGAAAAGTTATATTCTAGCAAGTCCCAGTTTCGATCTGGGGACCTCCGGGTTATGAGCCCGGCGCGCTTCCACTGCGCCAACTTGCTTTAAATTGGATTGATTGTTCCAATTGGATGAGAGAGAGATGCCAATTTGAATCTATATTATTCATTTTGTTAGACATGAAAAGATGGTAAATTGCAAGAGGAAAAATGGATCGTGGGTTGGTGCACGTGGTGGGGAACGAGGTGCAGGGCTAGCCCGGAACACACAATTCTTGAAGGTATACTCGAGTACATCGATATCACACCCTCAAAATTTTGATCGCCAAAATATAAAACATCTAGGGAGTATACATCTCAAATTTCATGAGGAAACAACTCAGACACCTGGCGAAAAAAAAAAGTACATAATGATTTCATCACCGAAAAGTTCCAAAAAGATATTGCAACAACGGCGAATTGAACGCCGACCTCCACCTTGGAAGGGTGGAATCCTAACCATTGGACTATTGAAGCTGAGTATGTTGATTAATTGATTGTAAGTAGCATGAGCGTCTGACATTATATTAACATTTTTCTCCCAGTTGAAGGGTGGGGGTTTGTGGAGCCATATCATGGTGGAAGCGAGGAGAGCGGGTCTTACTGGGAGGGTTTCCACTCTGTCCTGCTACCTCCGACAAGGACGGAAGTTATTTCTCTTTTGTTAGGAAAGCTATTCTATTAGTAAAGTTGTTGGTAAGATATAGTTCTGCATAAATATACTGATTTCACGCTCAATCAGTCATATCTAGACCGCTTGACATATCCGAGCCTCTATATGTGATATAGTATCAGACCTCGCATGCTACTCACAATACCATCCACAAGTGTACATATCCATAATTCTAGCATTGTATACTCAGTACAAGCAAATCTATCTAACTCCCCTGTAAATCCTCAGACCCATCTTCATTCTCCCATACCTCCAACTCCCAACCTCACAACACCCTTAACTTCAAGCTAAAGTTCACCAACCGGCAATCCATCACCCTCTCTATAATTCGCATAAATATCCACCTCATCATACCCTTCCAATTCCTTCTCTCTATCCGAAAAATCAAACGTATCCATATAATCCCCATGCCATTTTTCCGCCCAATCCCTCAACGCATCCCAATCCATACATTTTTTTATTCGGTTGCGTCCAATCTGATTTACCATGTCCTGCAATATTGGGTACTAGTATATAAGCTGGGTTACACATGATGTATTGACGAATGCGATCGAAACAATGGTAGGGATGATCTGCTGGGGGAAGAAATGGTGCGAGTGGTAGGTTATAATCGTAGGAATGGTAGAGGCTGCGGAGCATACGCTGTTTTGTATTAGAGGGGGTTGGAAAAAGAGAAGGACTTTCAAAGAATAGAGGGAAAGTAATGAGAGAACGTACGAGACAATACAGAACATGATAAGATTCAATGAAATAAATATGTTTGGATTCCTTGTCACCATCGTACAGGTGGGTTGTGGTAGACTCTGGGATATTATTGGCTTCTACATATGATTGAGGTAAAGCTACGACACCATGGCCTGGTAGAATTTTATGCCAAGCTTTATTCCCATCAGAGATATTGCGTGAAGTGAAGCGACTGGTGCGAGAAATATGACGGGTTTGGGAGCGCTCGAGACTAAGTTCGGGAATCTCTAGATCAATCATAGATTATTAGTATCACAATGATTCTTGGAGCTACTGCGCATTCAAAGTAAAGGTGTAAGGGATAACTACCTGGTGAAGCAAGACATTCTTTGAATGATCTAGAACCCAATGATACAATAAAAACTGATTGTAAGACATTTAGCAAAATCAAGAAGATAATTGATATGCCCATAAAATTCTTGAAGAAAAACTTCGACTTTGAAGGAGTGAAAGACGATTTTTCGAGAGAAGTCCCTTACTAAACTCGCTGTCCGCGCTTTTCGGTTCATTATATCCCGTAGGCCACGTTTCGGAAGATCTACGATGATAAAATACTCCCGAGGATGGAGAATCTATATCTGTGGCTGGTATCATTGTATATGAAGATACCAAGAACTTTGGCGGGATGATCGAAGAGTTTGGTATGGATGATGGAGGAAAAACTAGGTGACAAGCATTTGCCAAGTTATATTGGATTTAAATTATAGAGGTAGGATAGTGACAAAGAATATACCAGCTTCCAGGTGGAAGGGTAGTTGCCGTGTTGATTATACAAAGAGATACTATGGGAATATAATGAAAAGGGGTCTCAATGGGAGAAATAAGCGAGCTCGAATTTTTGTACCGACATATTATCATAAGGGAGTCCAAACTGAAATCTATTGCTAACCTCTTATCATGTACCATATCGTACCACCTCGTACCTTTGAAGGAGTAGAAAGCTCTCTAGCTGTTTTTGAAAGACTAGAAAGTTCAAAGAATTGGACTAATAGATTGTATTGCTTCGCTCTTGCTTAAAATCTCCTTGTCACAAGACAGAAAAATTTAAGTAAAACATTGGTGCTTATCGTATTTTAAGCTTTCTTGCCTCTCCTCTTAGGCAGAGAAGATGGCACACTAGTGCCCCATACTTTAAAGAAATGAGCTTTGCCAGCAGTGGAACTTGAGACCGAAATTGGTTGGCGATATCATCTCATTTTGACATAGAAAAGACTTCCTATGTATGATTATCACACTCCTGTAATAACAGAAAACATTTGAATAGCGACACGGAGAAGGTCCGGACTGTGAAAGCTTTTATCAAAGCAAGCGCTCGAAGATGGAAGTATGGAAGAGTAAGCATCTGAAGAAATTGTTTCGTTTGATGGGGTTTTGTAACGAAGGGCCTTCCAGAGTGGGAAGCTCATACTTTTAAATCTTGAGCAACCTATAGCTGCGGGATCAGACTCTAATGGCACGTCGTCTGAACGCAACCTTTGATCGAACTATTTCGGTATTTTTTATCCCCGTCAATTTTTTAGTGCAAGAATCGGGTCTATACGATAATTTTTCCCTTCATTTTCGAATGTTGTGAGGATGATGGTTATTTGTCATTAAAATTTCTCAGCTCCTATATCCAAACTACGCGCGAAACGACGCGCGAACTGCTGAATTCGATGCTCGCGGAACTAATTGGGCCATAGTTAAGAATCATTAAATCCCTAAGTAGCTGTAACAGCGCGTTGCCTGTACATGCGGTCAACAGCTTGCGATAACTCATTTCCACTGCGTTTTTCTCAATGATGTGATCTAAACTCTTGGACTGTGATTTGCACAGTGATCTACGTCGCTTGTATGAAGTTTTTGCTCGAAAGGAACAAGCTCGTAGCTTTTCATGAATTGGGAAATCATTACAAGACATGACATCTGTATTCCATACACATCAGAACCTGAATCCTATGTCATGAAGACATAGGTACAACTCCGTGTAGTGGAGCAAAAGTATTATTCCAATCCTCCTCATGCAGAACTGACTTACTATCCAAGCTTAGACATTGAAGGAGTATATACGTACTGACAACAAATACTTTCAGCCTTATGGACAAGAGTTTAAAACAAGGTTCCAATTGAAAGGTGAATATAAATCACAAGATTAAGCAAAATGGAAGGTAAATTGTTAGTGAATGTCTGAAGCGAGAAAAGATATCTTCTTAAAACCAAGATTCTATACTTTTCAGCTTCCATCCATGGTCAACTCACCTTGATCGTCTTCTCAAGAAAACAAGTCGGGTCGATCACCACAAAAGTCCAAAAGGCAGATCGGACACCATGGAGGCGACCAATTCCAATCCAAGTCTACCATTGAATTCGATCGACTCAAATCAGGTGTTCCGACCAGACGCCTTCTTCTGGCGACGTACTAATTCTCCCGACTACGCCAATCTCAACCAAATTCTTACTTTAACCTTGATCATCAAAGATGTCCATACTATCAAAGATGAAGACGTTGGCAAATTTCTGAAACTTTTTGGCGCACAGTACCTTCCATATCTTATAGGAGAATGCGACAATGACCCGTTGTCTCCATATGCCTTATGGGTCTTAATTGGTGGTGCGGAAGACAGCAGGTCATCTTGGCAGGCAAGGGTAGACGCCAAGTTCTATCGCACTCTGTTGGATGACCATAGAGGATCCGAGTTCGATCTTAAATTCAAAGAATTCCTACAAAAGAACTGCCAATTTCTTCTCGAACTCTGTAAGAAGCCTGCAAGACCCGAAGCAGCCCCAGACGCACACACTCACGAACCTTGAGCTCCCACTCGTCCTCATTGATCGGGCACTTGAAGCCAAATCCAAGTCGTTTGCCCCTAGGAACGCCCCCGAAACCAAGATAGGAACGGATTTCAAGGATGAAGCGTTTGAAAAGCTATCGGAGTTGCTTGGATCAGTCAAGTCAGTAATCGAAGTTGTGTCCAACGGCGACAGAAAGCTAGTATCCAATAGCCTCGAACAATCAAACAAGGAGAGGAAAGATGCACCAGAGTAGAATATCGATATTTGTTTCGCCTGGGGGAGCTGTCCATAAAGGTTCCAAGTACTTCAAAAGGCATGATGGCATAGTTCTCTTTTCGTGCAAACTTACTGATTCGATCACAGGAACCACTTGGAAACGAGTGACTGTTTATCGCCCAGAGGAACAATGAAATAATGTCGTAAGGGATGTCGTTGGATGCACGCGGATGGGAGTTTGTGCGGTGCTTTTCTTCTGATAGTGGGCTTGCAGGAAATAAACATGCGAAAACAATATGACCAATGACACGGCAAATACCAATGAAGGCATAAAGCTACATACAATGAACTTCAGCTGTAACATCGGACATATAATCGTGGCAATGCAGTGAAAAGAAAAAGCAATGGAAACGCAAACTCATCTCTTACAATGCTCAGTACAAGTAAAGTGAAAGTAAAAGCTAGTGAATGTCTACTGACTCAAGGAACCTTCTACCCACTAGGGACTTGTAGACTTCTCAACTTCGATCCAAAATTGACTCTTTCTCAAGGCAACAACTCAATCCCCTTCTTCAGCTACCACTCCCAACCCATGTAGCAAATCTCCCATTACCTCCTCCAATAAATAAGAGATCTCCCACTTCTCAGCACATCCAAACCTGCAACAAATTTCATGGCGACCAACAACATGACTACCATAGCTACCGCCCACATGACTCCACAACCGGAGATCGTACTTAACGCCACAATGCTAGAAGTATGCGAAGATTTCCTGTCAAGGAACCTTCCCAAAGAACAATACCTATTTGGGCCATGTTCTTTCCTTGACCTCGGTTGTCCTAAGTCGGGTCAAATTCTCCGACGAGAATCAACTTTTGACATTCATGGGCGCGACTTATCTTCCCTACTTACTTAGGGAGCGAAGGAACAACCCACTATCACCATATGAATTATGGTAAGGCTTGGGATTTCATGATAGCAGCAAAGTTGATAACAGATTAAACGTCAACAGAATGCTAGATTTCCACATCGGGACCCCGTTTGATCTTGCTTTCAAGGCTCATTTGAAGGAAAATTGCAAATTCGTTGTCGACCTCTGCACAAAAAAGCCAAATTGCCAACATTTCGAGCTGCTTCCTGTTCCTGTTCCTAACCTTGAGCTTCAGCTCGTCTTAGTCGACCGGGTACTTGAAACCAAGGATAAGGATGGCGAAAGCAAGAAACGAAAGCTTTCACACTCGGGCGTGAAGGTCCAGTAGATAATATGTATGGCCAATTTTCACTCTTTTCCTCTAGCAACGGGTACCATTCATACCTTTTTCAACTTTGCTACATGATTGACCGTACTAACACATGAAATTTTAGTTTTCAAGATCTTCGGAAAGATCCCCCAATGACTCAAGACTTCATAAGTTGAGCACTTCTCTTTCAAAAGGTACGATATAAAAATACACCTCAAGGCAAAAGCCCAGCTAATTTGCAACACCATTAGACAACTTGAAACGAACAGGCAATGGACACGGCGAGAAACTCAATCTGGGCTATTATATAGCAACAGGGCTGCGTAATTTATGACGGAGCAGTGATATGTTTGGGCAGGGTTGAGACATGCTTTGCACTTGCTTGATAACTCTCCACTTCAGGTTAACTTCATGCTTCTTCGACATGATAGCAATAATAAAATCAGAAGGAGATATTACAATGCCACAGCCAGGTAGTGAACAGATGAAACAGGAATACCATGATACGGGATGAACTATGAAATCAGGCAAGTATTGCATTTCCACCTCGAGGTGGACAGAAACTAATCCTTGCCACCATCTCATCCATTCTTCCTAAACGCCAACAAATCCTCCAACTCCCAAGCCATTATGCATATCATCGTATCTTCTGTCATAACTGCAGTAATGCTAGCATGTAGCAAGCTCATCCTCCGGCGCAGCCCACCATCCAGTTGCGAAGATCTTCCAATACGTAACCATGAATTCTTCGTAGCTCCCTAATTCTTCACCAACGGATCACCATATTTCTCTATCATCCACATTAGCCTTCTATTTTCTTCCCCTCCACAACCAGTAAGGGTTGTGAAAAATAACTCACTGCCATCCCAATTCTTATCAACTAACGCATCCCAAGCCCTATCATACTCCTCTCTAAACTTCTTCGAAGACCACGAACTACCCGGCGACCCATGATTAATCTTATCCTGAGGGGCCGCACTCTTCGAGGGAGTCGTAGCGGGCGTATCAGAGAAACTATGGTTATTGGCGTAGAGATCGGGTGGGGAATCCGGAGCTTCCATCATGAGGTCTTCTTGGTGGGATTCTTGATGGGGTTCTTGGTGCGACGAAAGTTCGGCGTCGGTGCTTGAGGCTGGCGGTTGTTGATCTGCTGGAAAGTAGTAAGATATTTGGTTTTTGGGATTGAGGGTCGAGGATGGTGGATGGGAATGGGAATGGTTATTTACTTACCTGCTGATTCTTGGGCCGACATTTCGGTGAGTTTTATGCGACCGTACTAATAGTCGATTAAAAGAAGATATTCGTCTTATACTATTACTAGGACGGGTGAAGTGAATTGATTTAAAGATGGTGATAAGTAAAGCTTCAAGTAAACACCCCACAGCCTTGTCATGCAGCCAAGTCGTGATGGCAGGGCTGTTACACAGTTAGCGTAATCCACCGCAAGCCACATCCCTTGCAAACTCAAAAAGTACCACCCCTCCCTTTTCATTACCTCTCCACTCTTCACACCTTCCTCAATTCTTCAAATATTAATCAATACATAGAACAAAAGATTCTCTAACAGAATATGAGCAAAAAATCAGCAATTCCCAGTGCCTGGGACGACGATTGGGAAACTCAAGCCGACGCATGGGAATCCGCACCACCATCAAAAAGTAAAGTGATCGAGGAAGAGCCCAAAATATCCAAGGCGGAACGATTAGCAAAACACGCGGAGATTAACAAGAAGATCTGGGAATCTGCGTATGTTACATTCTACGTCTACAATGTCCTTGCATATCAACTGTCCGCTTTAAACAACTAATACGATTCATCCATAGCGAAACACCAGGCGGTCTCTCAGAAGAATTCCCCTTTCTTCCACCTAATCTCGCCAAACCTGTTCCATTAGCTACACCGTACAAGGCACCTCTTACACTTCTCTCTCGTAAACCGGCACCTAGAACCATCACCAAAATAGATCCTCGAACTGGTAAAACGATCACCATTGAAGCAGAAGAGGAAGAGGAGGTTATTGTCACAGGACCAACTGCCGAAGAGTTGCGCGAAAAGACACAACGTGAGCGTGAGGAAAAGCAGAAGAAATACGATGAAGCCAGAGCCAGGATTCTAGGGACCAATTCTGCGCCAAGAAGTAATTCTGGAAATGGGAGGGGAGGTAGTGGCAGTAATAGTCCGAGGAATGGGACACCGCCTCTACAGGGAAGGGGAAGGGGCAGAGGAAACGATATCCGGAGACCAGATAGTAGGCCAGATAGTAGGTCTGGACAGAAGGAATTATTCGATCCAAACTATACGCCTAAGCCGGGGTCGATCACAACACAGAAGACATCTAGAAATGGGGAAGGATCACGATCAAATTCGGGCACATCTACACCAATTTCACGAGAGAATGAACAAGTTATTCGAGCTCCAAGGGGACCTGATGCAACAGGTAAAGGATTTGGATTCGCAAATCGAGGTGGTAAAATGAGTTGATTTTCTGCTCTAGAGTCACCAACTACCAACCTCCGCCAATTTTACCGGCGATTTCTATTACTCTTTCGGCATCCCCGACATTTTTGCCAACATCACTAACAACCTCCCGGTATGTCGTATACACCAATCTTTCCAGATCTAGGCCCGTGGTTGCCGCCCAATGCGATAGAGTATCTTTGATGTATGATGGTGAGATCCCTTCAACTAAATCATTACGGTCATCAACACTCGATGACTCCACATTATCTTCTCCAGAGAAGTATGCCTCATCAACTTGAGCCAGCCACATTTTTTGTTCTTGTGGACCGGCTTTCGCATCGCCTTCCAACCGGCTAGTATTTATTGGATCATCAACCTTGATCTGACCACCCCCGTTGGTACAACCACCTGGACATGCCATAACTTCAACATAACTATAATCGGGACCGGAAGCTTTACCATTTGGCCGCCTAGCGCTTCCGATAGGTTTACCACCAGGCATTCGAGACGGCTTTGCTGGCTTTAGTCGTCGGACAAGATTTTGAATATTTCGGAATCCATAATATCTGGCTGCCTTTAACAGTATCTCACCGTTTTCTGCGACAACAGTATAATCCACAACATCTACGTTTCGACCTTTAATCGTTTGGATGGATGATCCTTTATGCTGGGATGCAAAATAATGGAGGGCATAATGAAGATTTCCACCGGAAGTACCAGCGTCGCGGTTACCGTTGCCGCTACCTTTGCGATTGGATGGGAAGAGAAAAGAGTCTATTTTTGTATCTGGGAACGGTATGCGTGAGGATGTAGGTATTGGAGTCCGAGGTAATTTGGAAAATTCGATGCCTCTGGAATCTGCGAGCATGAGTAACTCCTTGCTTGTGATAACAGAATCGACATCTCTAACGCCCCTAGTTCCTGTTCCTTCCCAAACAGCGTCGGTCAATTCCTCTCGACTAGCTTCCAGCTTTTTATCGAAACATGGCATAACAGCTACATGCCATATCCTATCAGGTGAAATACCAAGTTTTCGACTTAAAGTCGTCTTTATAAGAGTTCCCATCAATGCTTGTGGTGATTTCATCCGTGATAAATGAGGTAAAACGTGTGGATGTGTCTTTTCGGCGTAGCATACCCATCCAGGACAAGAAGATGTCAGGACTGGTTTCTTAGATCCGGTGTCTGTCATAGACGCTATTACTTCCTCAGCTCCAAGTACTAAACATGCCTCTCTCGTAATATTTGTATCCACAACCCATTGAAATGCATTCCTATAAACCGCCCTGTTCTTTATTCCTTTTGGCCCGCTAAGTAAGTGTTCAATCATATAGCCTGCTTCTCGTTCGGTAACTCCAAAAGTGGCAGCAATACTCGCTCGTGATTGCGGACTGACACTTGCGACATATATTTTCCCTCCTTGTTCTACTCCTTCCACCTTTATACCTGTCCCTGTCGCATTTTTATATAGGCGAAGACCAGGCGCTGAATCTAATTGTGATAATACTTCGGCATGCGATTGTAAAGATACAAGGACAGCTTCCGCAGAAGTGACGCATCCTGAACATGCGAGACAATCCGTGAGTGATATCTGGGCGGGGGGTAAATCGGAAGGAAGAGGGGCATCGGTATTGAAGGATATTTCGAGTTCCTGAAGAAAATGTTAGGATTGGGACGATAGGGAAAGAATGAAAATGAATATACATACATTATCCGCAGAAGGTTTTGCAGCTGGTAAAGTTTCGACGGGTTTTATACATGCGACTCCTGGGGAAATGAAATCATTTAAATCGTCTGCGGAGAGAATTGCGCTCATGATTCTTGACGGGTTTGCGAACGCTGGATGCGCCGCTCTTTTGTTTCGGGATTGGAGTTCTTATGTATGTATGAGATGTATGATTGATATGTATACAATATATTCGAGTTTTCGATTGAAGTAAAAATGGTAGAATGATATTATCTAAATATCGGAGATGTATGAATAAATTCTAGAGATAGATGGAGATGAAACTTAGTTATTGGGACAAAAAATTAAAAGATTGTAAATCATTGACAATCATTGACAATCACAATTGAGATAATTCGTCGAAAATGCATTGCGAAGATCGGAGCACGGAGAATGGAGATGGTGGCGTTGACTAGGGTGAGGGCTGGCCAGCCCCGCACTAAAATATGCAGTAATGCCTTGACGACTCATTTTCTTGCCTGAGACTTTAATAAATGACGTAAGGTAGTGTGGTCGGTTGTGTTGTTCCTGACATGAGATGGGATGACTTTGTTTTTTTTTGGATGAGATCATGCTTTTGGATTTGTAGTTATAAGGGCGGTTTGTCAATTCTATTTTGCCTTGTATATTGAAGACTTTTGATATTTGTATCGAAAATACTAGGGTTATATCAATCGAGTTGGAGATTACACCAAGCTTTTCAACTAGTACTTGTGAGAATTATGGATGTATGGCTCAACCCGAAATATGTATCAGAACGTGCTTGACTGATTCTCAACTAGGTATTTTACTCGTACACATATGGAACAGCAGGATGGCTTGCTTTACAAGCAGTTCCATTAATGCTATCTCCTACCATCATCATCGCTATGCTCTCACCTGAAGTGCGAGATGCTACTTGTTAGTCCATTACACACCTTTCAAATTTCCATAGTTCTACTAACAGCTCATTCTCAGTACTCGAAGAATACTTTTCCAGATCCCTAGGAATAACGCTACTCACCCTCGGCGTCCTGATCGTCCTCCTAACCGGATCCGTCCCGCTCACCTCTTCCCTGTCCGATACTGCCTCCTCTGCAGTCACATCTTCAGCCAGTGACCCGAAGGCTCCCTACGCAGTCCCCGTCCTTACAATTTCTACCATTTATCATGGAGTGATCGCGTTTTACTGCTATGCGCGCTACACAACAAGTGGTACTTTTACATTTGCATTGGGATCGCTTGGGTCGACGACATTATTTGCGATAGGGGGATGGTGTATACTTTTTGGAACGGAGAGTGGGAGGATTAGTAAAAAGACGGGCGCGGATAAAAGGACGAGCGGGTGGCCATTTGGCAACCAGGAGAGTGCGAGTGCGAGGAAGAGGGCTCTGAGGAGGGGGTTGTGAGGTGTTGATGAGGGGGATAGGAAGATGAAATGGGGAATCCGAGGGCGCATTGGTTATAGGGATGAGACGATATTTGGCTTCAGGAAAGTTTTAAAGAGATTGTATATTTGGGGCCTAATGACTTTATGAAAAAAAAAAAAAACAGTCGAACGAGAATTTAGTGTAATGTTGATATCATTTTTGAGATTCAATACCCAAATTGTTTGGTTACCCAAGCCCTTCTCAGATCAACAAATCCCCTACCAGCACACTTCATCCCACCTCTCTTTATGTACCACCTAGTAAGTATCTCCTATCCACATATCCCTTCACTCAAACCGCGACGTCTCCATCTCGTAAACCCTACAAATTCAAAGCCACACATACATACCAAGCACGGCGTTAAGCATCCTACCAAACGACCGGTATCTCCTTCCTTCGATGCCCCATCATTCCCACGAGTTCAACAAGGGGGATAGCAGCGGAAATGGACTTAATATTTTGGGCTTTATCTCCAAAACTGTCATAGGTTAAGGTTATATGACCATGCATGACTCAGGGATGATAAAGCCAGAATGATCTTTTTCAATCGCTATGTCAGAAAATCCCATATTGGTAAATCAATTTTTAAATCAAGTTTTGAGATTGGAGGTTTTCAATAAGAGGAGGAGAAGATAAAAAGGAGTATAAAAATTTATAATAAATAAATATTTATATAATTTGAAATTTGAAATACAGGACACCTACTATTTTGTTTTGAATTATATTATGACATAGACATAAAACCAAATAATTGATCAACAAACTTCAGAAATCCCAAAGACCCTCGCCAAAGCAAGATGGCTCCCGCGCCCTGAATTGGAATTCCAGCGGACAACAACAGAGTCCTAACACCACTCGCAGAGGAATGAATAAATTGGGATTTATTCTAGCGTCGGACTTTTCTCTCCTTTCCGTCAGCGCGAGTAGGTAAGATCTTACTTCCCTTTGCGACATGTACTTGATAACTTCGGTTGAGGTTGAAATATGCTTGCTTGCTTACTGATAAATCAACCGCCGCATGCATGGATTTAATCATTAACCCCGAGGTCCAGCTCCAGCTTACCTCATTTCACGATTAGCCCACCAGGCCGGCTAGCTATGAGGGAGAAATGCTCTTCCCCCCACTTCCCTCAATTACCGAGTATGGAAGTACGTATAGTTATTATTATTACATGGTGAAATATTGTATGGCAATTCATTGATGATATAATGTGTAACGTAACCGCCGAAAATATCAGATAGATGAGGGATAATAGAGTATATAAAGAGTTGAATTTTTCCGCATTTTTATTCATCATCAGTAACAGTTAGTTCTATTGCATTAGTTCTTCAATTATACGAGTAACTGCAGCGTAAATAATTACCCCTCCAAAAAATCAAATCTCAATCGATTACACAAACACAACAACATCACATAAAGCCACAACAAGAGAATAAAAACAGACAAAATGGTTCAATTACTCGGAAAAGATATTGGTACCATTGGGTACGGCATGATGGGTATATCCTTCCCAATCACCTCTCAAACATCAACTAACCCTCCCTCCTAGGTCTCTCATGGCGTCCAGAGCCCCAACCTCTCGAAGAGAGCATCAAAACCCTAAAATCCGCCCTCGAAAACGGGTGTAATTTCTGGAACGGTGGACAATTCTATGGAACTCCTGAATACAACTCTCTTACCATCTGCAAAGCCTACTTTACAAAGTATCCTGAAGATGCTGATAAAGTAGTCTTGAGTATCAAAGGTGGTATAAATCTAGAAAAGTTCGTGCCGGATGGAAGTCCAGAGGGAGTGAGGAAGAGTGTGGATACATGTTTAGCACTCTTGGGAGGAACGAAGAAAATCGATATCTTTGAGTGTGCGAGGGTGGATAAGAATACACCCATTGAGACTACGATGAAGGTCTTAGAGGAAGAGTATGTGAAGACGGGGAAGATTGGGGGTATTTCGTTGAGCGAGTGTTCAGCAGAAACGGTGCGTAGGGCTGCAAAGGTTACGAAGGTTGTGGCTTGTGAGGTGGAAGTTGCTTTGTCTACGTTGAATATTTTTCAAAATGGGGTTGCAAATGCTTGTGCTGAACATGATATCTTGGTTGTTGCGTACGTAATTCCTTTCGATATGGATGATGATAATTGCATGGCTAATGAAACACAGATACTCACCATTAGGCCGAGGATTATTGACCGGTACGATTCAAAAGCCAGAAGATCTCCCTGAGGGGGACCATCGTAAAGACTATCCTCGATTCCAGAAAGAGCACTTTGAAGCCAACAAGAAGCTTTCTGATGCAGTGGCAAAGCTTGCGGAGGAAAAGAAATGCACATTGGCTCAAATTTCTATCAATTGGCTTACAGCAATTTCGAAGAAGAACGGTAACCCAGAGATCATCCCAATCCCCGGTGCTACTACAATCAGCCGCATTCAAGAGAACTCCAAGGAAGTATCTTTAAGTGATGCTGATTTGGCGGAGCTTGAATCGATTTTGAAGCAATTCCCAAGTTCGGGACCTCGTTATGGCAAGGAGCAATCAGCAATGTTGGAAGGTTAAAAGCCTTGGTGGAAGGAAAGGAGTTAGCAATGGTAGAACGGGAGTATGAGATAGCGCAAGAAATATGTATTTAGAAATAGAGCTCAGAATAAATTGTGTAATGTGTTTATGTCGACCTTAAGATGCAGTTGCCTACATCCATCCGAATTGCAGAACTCGAAGGTTATTCATCATAGCGGGAGTGTAAAAAAAGAGATAGATGCATAAAATGAGCTTACCTAAATGGTATTATCTATTGCAGAGTCTTTAAATACTGCAGCTGCATTATGTCTTTACAATCAAGAGTTCGCAACAGCGAAAGTCGATTGGATTGTGTGTAACATGAAGTAGAATATTTAAATGAAGATGGAAAAGAAAATGTCAAGGTCACCCACCACGTTATTAAGAAAAGTGGACAGCTAGCTGGACGGAAAGATCCGAAAGCTCTTGGCATATTTCGCGATGGACATCATCGAGTGCAACTAAACTGCATATTCGCAAAGCTTCTTTATCAAACACCAACTGAACTCAATCAATTCACCCTTCACCTTCAACCTTAAGATTTTCACCTTTAGCGTACCTCTAATTACAAATCCCACTATACAATTGTCATTTTTGACTTTCTCAACATGGCAGACGACTCGCCTCCAGGATCTCCCCTCTCAGATCTTTCCTCAGACGCATTCGAGATTGACGAAGAAAACGAACGGATGGCTGCAGAAACTCATATGCCGCCCGCGAAAAGACAAAAGACGAGTAGTGACGAATCTTTACGCAACGCTCACACATCTCGCAATATTAAAATGGAGGGAACAGATGGTTATTGTTCTAGTGATACAGAAGGAGATATCCCGGATTCTCCAAGCATCATTCAACGACCGGAGGATGCTCTTGATGATTTACATGAACAGATTACAGTTTGCGCATGGCTTGGATGCACTAGAGGAGATTTGGGAGATATGGATCAGTTGGTCGATCATTTACATCATGATCACATCGATTCGAGACCCAAGAAATATACATGCGAATGGTTGGGTTGTCCAAGGAAAAGCCAGCCTCAAGCAAGTGCCTATGCTTTGAAGGCGCATATGAGAAGTCATACCGGAGAAAAGCCATTCTATTGCGCCTTACCTGGTTTGTTCTTTACGGGTGAATATTTAAATCAAAGCTAACAAGTATACTAGAATGCGATCGCGCTTTTACACGTTCTGATGCTCTCGCCAAACACATGCGAACAGTTCACGAAACCGAAGCTCTTCGTCCTTCTGATCCTATTCCAAAACATCTACATGACATTTCAAGACCCGGCCACGGTCAACTCAAAGTCGTCATGAAACCATTTCCGGATGCAAATCCTGTCGCAGGAGCACAAATATCACCGGTAGTTGATCCTTCGTCGTTGGCAACATCATATCCTCCTGAGTTAGGAATCACTTTGGAAGAAGAAGCCAAAGGACCAGTTGAGCTTTGGAAATTACTACGTAAGCAAATAAAATGGGCAGAGGAAGAAGGCGAGGCATTAAGGAAACAATGCGAGTTAATGGAAGAGCTGAGGAAAAGAGAATGGATGGAAAAGGAAGTTTTACTTGATAGTGCCATCGCAAAAGATTTGGAATGGCATAAGAAAAGAAAGGAGATGTTGGCTGGCCTTGCGAAGTTTCCAATACAAACCAGGGAAGAACATTCCGCCATGAACGAGGGCTCAAATTCACCAAGTATCCGTGGACTTGCTTTTACACCAAATAGAGCCATGTCTCCAAATGGTGGTACTCCTTTCTCACCGAGAGATTTGACACCTTTAGAACAGAGCCAAGGACCTGTCGAGACAGATGTGGCGGAGGTTTTGGCGTCTATGGCTCATGCTTAAATACAGCATGGGAAGGAAAGGAGTGGGAGGAAAAGCGAATACCAAACTGATCTGCGGATCCGATTTTTGACAGGATATTAGGTAATGAGTTCTAGGAGTAAAACGGCTACGAAATATCACGAATTAACGGATATTATTTCGAGGAATTGAAATGGAAATTATGGCAAGCATGGCGTTTTTTGGAGCTATCTAAAATGGCGAAGCAGGGGATTTGCTCATGTATGGAATGATAGTTTACTAGAATACTAAAATCTAGGACGATGATTAATATCATGATGACTGTTTTGGCGGTATTTTGTGAGACTTTGAGGCATTAGGTTTTGATAGTAGAGGCTGGAATTCATGGGAAGGTTAGATTAGATGGTGAGCTGTGACTACAAGGGAAGTAAGTGTTAAAAGGAATGACCTTACACAGGGAATAGTGGGAAGCTGATAGGGCAGAACTGAGGCTATATTGGCCTTCTATATAAATCACCCATAATCTTAGTTCTACGGAAGCGCGAAGCTCTCCTACAGAGAGCTTCTCAATCTAGTCCTAATAGGACTAGTGCCCTGTGCACGTGCTACGCAGAAACCATTCACTTTAACAGTAAGTCTTATTATTATTATTACCTTTTATATTTTGCCCAACTGATTGATTGATTAATGGTCCCGAGATCTACATTCATTCATATCTACCTACTTTATAAGAAACCTCTATTTGTGACCAAAAGGGTGTTTATAGACCAGCAATTGTATTTAACTTAGAATCTACAGGTGAAGAGCACCTGTAGATGGGGATAGCTACTCTTATATATACACAAATGAATGGCCTAGCCGCAATGGCTAGGCAAAAAGAAGTCATATTTATCCCTCCAATGATCTTACTTTTCCGATAACCATTGATACCTAGTACTTGTCCGGATCTGATCCTCAGACCACCTAAATCGTATACTAATCCCGAGTAATCGTATCATGTGTGGACATGGTTAATGTACCCCAGGTTTCTTATATAATAAGGGTGGGAGGAAAGCAGGGGTTTCCGTCACACTATTAGAAGATATTTATCACCCCAAAACACCTATAAATATAAGCAAGTGTAAAAGGAAAAAATACTTGATTTATCCTTGTTTATCTACTTGATCACTCTACTTTTATACCTCATACCTTGTACCTCATACCTCATATCTTATACCTTATATCTTTTACCATATATTATATACTACATACAAGATATACAGCGAAGCAAACTTCGATTTGTACTTAAATCCTGATCTTGGTTTTTCTCTAAGGCTCTTCTAAGTGATTAAGTCTAGTGAGATATTTTTTATTATATGGAAATGATATATTTTACTCTGTGAATGGAAGTGGGAGTAAAGTGGAAGTGGAAGTGAATGTTATTTCTTAGTTGTGAAGTGTATGAAGGGTATGAAGTGTGTGAAGTGTATAAAGTGTATATCTATAAGTATAGATATAGATATAGATATTATCCTTTCTTTTTAGTTATATTTCTGAAGTAGGAATTACTATTATACTCGCTATTAAACTCAATATAAGAAGAATGATTATGGATCTGTTGTCTATATAATCACGAATCGTAGCTCCAGGTTTACTTACCCTTTGAAATTTACGATAGGCGTCTGAGAAAATCACTATATATAAGTATATGTACAGTTACATATATCCCATTCCCGCAATCCCGCAGTCCTGCACGGTTTTGAGTCTCTGATATAGTGTCGAGTTGAGTTTTGTTGTTATTGTCATTAGTTGGATATAATCACTATTACTTGGTGATCTTTTCTTATGTTATCTTATATTTATCACAATTATCATCTCAAGGGGACAATATGTCCAGCACAATAACAGCAAAAAAGGACGTCTTAAGATTGAAAAATGCTCAGAAACATGTTTGTATTTTGTATAAAGCCACATTAATATAGCTTGTGTCTGAAGTAATATCTGTAGTTATTTTTTTATTTTGTTTTTATTTTTTTTGAAATAACTACAGACCTAAGTTTTCCGTGAGACATGTAGAAAGTTGTTGTATTGTGTGGAAGTATCTAGGTAGTGGGTGCTTAGGGTTATATAGTTTTTTAGTCGGCTTGAGCGGGGTGGAGGATGGAGGATAACAGTGGTATAGGTGGAGTAGCTCACAAAATTTCACGCACAATTATTGAGGACGTTACGTTACGCTGAGTTTTTCAAGAGGGCTTAATATACGTTTTGTAGCCAATAGACCCCGCGTTAGTGTCGTGATAATTCCAATTTCTGCTATTTGTAGGTATCTATAAATATCAGTAGTATTGTAGCTACCTATACTTACCAATATTAACAAAAAGATAAGAAGAATCCGAGTACAACCATGATTACAATGTTTACAAATTATATCCTAAGGGTTTCAATGCATTTAAAGTTTGAAATAAGTGGACATCTTCAAGTACTGTATTAGGTTCTACGGTGAATTTATCCTCATACAGTAGTTTATTGTCGCTTAATACAGGGGCATTCTGTTGTTGATTTTTGATATTAATTTTGTTCGGTCCTGTGGTTTATTATAAGGATGGGATGTCAAAACGATAGCGGATGGAAAAACTCTATGAGAATTGCCTTACGTAGATGCATGCTCTTCGTAGTTGAACGGCTATGGTTCGGGGACGGGGTCATGTGAAGCTCTATTGTAGTTCGCATGCCTCGCTTGGTGCCTCTACTAAGGGAAATCTTATCTACGGGTATATAAGAGTCCTTGATGATCGTGAAAATCTTACTTTCCATTCTCGATGCATAGCATAGTTGGAGTGGAGAGCAGGTCCAACAAGGCACAAATCCGACTTAGTAGGCTAACATTGTGATCTGTGCAAAGAGTCTTTGATTTTGAACTGGGCAACTCAAATTTGTGTTGTCATCACCATGATATAATATACAGATTAAGCGTATAAGTAACAGCAAAAAGAACGACGGAAGACGAGGAAAACGACAATAAGCCCCGAAGAAGAAGCATTTATCCTAAAATAAAAGTATAGAATAAAATATAAATCAACAAAGACAAATAAATGGATTACATACTTATACCACCATCATTTATATCAACATGAATATACATACTCCCTATCACCAACATTTCTAACACCGCAAACCTCACCACCTAATCATCACTAGTCTATAAAATCTATAACAAAATAAGGTACATACTACCACCTTAAAGGAAATCCCAGTACTTGATCTTACTACCTACTATAGATACACAATAGAACTGGAATATTTATTTACACAAAACCACCATGTGTCTCCTGCTCCCATAAATCATTACAGCTATAATCGAAGAGGAAATAGATACTTGATTCGAAGAATATATATAAATATATATCCTCGCTACTCCTCGCTACCCCCTCTCCACCACTTCCCGCTACCCCCATCTCCACAAGTAATGCACACACATATATATCCTCTCACTACCCCTCTTCCCCCTTCCCCACCAACCCCCGAAAGTTACAAGACATCGCCACACCACATATATGCACAGAGAAAATCTCCTCTCATCCTCTCAAACAACGAAACACTACTAGCACATGTACATCTCTCAGTGGTACCTAGGTAATATTGACTTTTAGTTTTTTGCAGATTTGTCGAATTCGAATGTTTATGTATATGTTAAATCTTATATATATACATACATACAATAACCGGTAACCGCAAATAAAAACCTAGTGAGATAGAATAGGAATTTATAAATAAAAATCAAGATTTGTGTATAATTATAGAAGTAAAGAATACGTATATACCAATTATTATATATATAAATCTCGATTCTCCACTAACCCTACTGCAGTTAAGTAAATTACTCTGTTCTATTCTCCTTTAATATTGTGCTTTGTGCTATACAATTGGGTATCAATATCCATATCAAACAAAAGTATTGTAATATATGCTAAAACATACTCAACTCAACTCAATCTAATCTATCCTCCCCCCTCGCCCCCCTCCCCTAGAAAATTTCCTCTCATCTTTAAATACCACTCTAACCCTCGCCTCCATCCCATCCACACAAAGCCCCACATCTTTCGTTGAATCCTCCAACTCTACTTCTCTCTTCATAAATTTACCTGTTGTGGAATCTCCCGATCGTTCATGAGTTTGTACCGCAACTTTGTCAATTTCCATGCTAGATTCATTTCCTCTTGATTGTTTTCCAATCTCATCGGATAAGTTCACAGGTGTAAAAACATCTGCATCCCTGTCTACGCCGTTATCCTCATCATACTCATCAATATCCTCATATCCCGCTACTGGATCCCATTCTCCCGTTTCCCAAATAAGTTTCAAGCTCAAGGGTCTCCAATCTAGGATTCTTCCCACAATTCCCTTGACACGGTAAATACTAAACGCCTTAGGAATTTCCTTCACTATTGTGGTTTCCTTTTGATCAATTTCTAGATTTGCTGGAACGTAGAATGTGAATTTAATCAAACGTGCTTCCAGAAAAGCTGGATTTATCTCTGCTTTCTCTTTCCTCATTACTACCGGAGGACCATGAAGATCACACAGCTCTTTGTATCGTTTGTGTCTGGAAATCACTATAGATTCTTGATCTGATTCCACAGCTCCAAGTTCCTTGCCAATTTCGGAAAGATAGAATAATTCTGCGTTATTTCGATCTTGAATGGTAATGCTGCTAAAGTTCAATTTTTGAAGGCTCCCAAGACGTGCTAATGTTAACATAAATTCCTCATTAAGACTACCCATTGTGGAAGCGTCGCTCTTTTCTTGATAGATTTGGTTCTTAGATATTCGCAAAGATGTCATGCCAGGAAAAATATGGACGAGTTCATCCACAAAACCCCATTTGTCGATTTTGTTGTAAGATAAGTCGATGTATGACAACTTCTCATTGAAAATTAATGGCGTGAATGTTTTAACAGAACCTGACCCTGACATCGTTCCTGTTGTAGATATTTTGTTTCCTTTAAGAAGTAACGATTCGAGGGATGTGAGTTGAGTCAATACCTCCAGATCTGTCAATGACGTGAAGTCATTATACTCAAGAGTCAAAGAGGCAAGAGAACAATTCGTGAGAGGTGAGGCCAATTTTTGAAAGCCATTTGATGATGCCGTCAAAGATACCGTAGAGGTGAACCTTTGCATGAGTATGCAAAGTTCATTCCAATCAATGAGGGTTTCATCTAATTCTAAAGACTTAATCATACTGAAGACTTCTTCAGTAGATCCCATCATAACTGCATCTAAGATTTTGCTTGTGTCAAGCTTTAATCTGTTTCCGCTACAATAACCATATTAGCCAAGCTTCGTCAACACTTGAAAGTCGCTTACTTTAATCTTAAGATTCTCAGATTCTTCAACTGCCCACAAATGATTTCTATCTCATGCAGAGATCCGAACAAATTCCTACTCAAGTCCAACTCAACTATACTTGGAAATGCTTCACCAACAGTAAGATCTACCACTGATCTATCTGACCCTGATGTAGCAGAGGTCTCTTCGGTCTGAGAATTGGTATGAGCCCTATTAATGCGTTGTCCATCAACTAGGACAATTTTCAATTCATGCACCTGAGCCTGCTGCCGTGCAACTTTATCGAACCCAACCTCCTCTGCTACTTTTCCAGATATCACAATTTGCTTGCTCGGATCCAGGCCATCTCCAGAGGCATATTTATGAAATACCGCTTCCACAAAGCTCTGCTCGGGATCTGATTTTCTGGTAGGACGTATAAAACTTGCTGGACTTGGTGCTTTGCTCAAACCTATAGATATTAGAAGTTACTCCCAAATAATATCTCTCATATCAAGGAACTTACATTCAAAGTACCCTTTCCCATCATTCTTACCCCGCGAAGGGTCGTCCCATTCAACCCCTAGCCATTCCTTCTCTGTACCCTTCACCTCTCCAATATATCGGATCGTGCATAATTGCCCTTGAAACGATACTCGTTGACCTACAAAATAGTTGTGACTTTGTGACATTGTAAAGAGGTTAATTCGTTGATTGTGCTAATTAGGAAATAAGTTGCAGCCTTGTAAAGAGAGGCTGAACCACAGCCGAACTTTTTTTCGCGACATCAATATCAACTTCCTATCACAACACCTACCTATCCAGCGAACCTTCTATTTCCCCATCAAATTAATTTCGGCCAAATATTAGTTTCGAGATCGCAATTACAAATTGGCCCTCGAAATCATCAATTCCAACGTGTCTCTCCATACAATTACTAGCACTCAACGATCCTCAAACTCACCAGCCTTGAAATCTACCTCTTCCACCCTTCTCACCTCCTCACCTCTCCACAATGGACTACCAAAACCGCGCCGGTAGTAAATTCGGCGGCGGTGGCGTCGCTTCCACCAGCGCCACCAACGCCGACCGCCGCGAACGACTCCGCAAACTCGCCCTCGAAACCATCGATCTAGACAAAGACCCGTACTTCTTCAAAAACCACGTCGGATCCTTCGAATGTCGACTCTGCCTCACCGTCCACCAAAACGATGGATCCTATCTCGCACACACGCAGGGACGCAAGCACCAGACCAATCTCGCGCGGCGCGCCGCACGCGAGGAGAAAGAGGGTCGAGCAGGTATCGATCCCATTACTGGGTTACCTGTGGGTATGGTAGGAGCGCAAGTTAGCGTGCGCAAGAACATGGTGAAGATTGGACGGCCTGGGTATAAGATTACGAAGACGCGGGATCCGGTTACGAGACAGCAGGGGTTGTTATTTCAGTTGCAGTATCCTGAGATAGCGGCGGATGTGCAGCCGCGCATTCGCTTTATGAGTGCGTATGAGCAGAAGGTGGAGGATCCAGATAAGGATTTTCAGTATATGTTGGTAGCGGCTGAGCCTTATGAGACGTGTGGATTCAAGTTGCAGGCGAGGGAGATTGATCGCTCGAATGATAGGTATTGGACTTGGTGGGACTCTGATTTGAAGGAGTTCTGGGTTCAGATTATGTTCAAGACGGAGAGAGAGGAGAGATATAGTGGTGTGCCTGGTTTGGCTCCAGTCAGGTGAATCGCAAGGGCAATGTCGGATGGAGTTCAGAGGAGTTTGTAATGGCTAAATTGTACTATGATATGAGATAACGGGAATATCACCAGGCACAATACTGAGCAGTTGTTATCATTCCAGTTTTTGATTGAATGTAAAGATGTTTCCCAAGGTATACCCAGGAACATCATTTTCTACCTAATGTTTCCCACCATGATCACATTTAAAAAGTTCTTCCCATCCATAAAACCAACCCCTATGCCAGAAGTCTAGAGCTAGGCTGACTCGCTCATGTGTACATCCAGTCGGATTGAAATCAGAAAATAGAAAGCGCCACTAGATGTAAGACGTGAGAAGTCTAATGTTAATCTTCAGAACATGTACCCCAGTGGTATCCGGCACGCCTTGAAGGGTTAAAAGGCCATGCAATAACAAATAGGCAATCCCCTCATCGCCCTCCAGGTGAAATTTGCTCAGACTATC